CGCTACTGTATCGCTGCTAAAAGTCGCCGTGTGTAATCGCTCTAATGCCTGAAGTCGTTATCCGAGACCTCGACTGCATATAGTTGATAACGACTTCACGCATTAACTACATGTAGTTAAACCGACTTCATGCAGCCGAGATCGACTGCACGCAGTTAAAGCGTGATCGGAGAATTAAGGGAGATTCTACAATGCGTCCAATTTTTATAGGCAATTTAACAATAAGATCAGACATCAATTTAGGACGTTACGTGGTGAAAGCCTTATTGGGAGAACGTTTGCCTCCAATGTATGTCTTGTGTAAGATTCCTATCGGAAAGCCTGCGCCATTGTCATTTCAAATAATTTAAAGTTTAGTTGACTATTTATCACTTTTGTAAAATGTAAGACAAACATTGTAATGACAGCGTGCTTGTCGCGGAAGTTTCACAACACTTTTGGGATGTGTGGAATCCTCAGCGTCATTAGGCAAACATAGTGGAGTGCGTAGTAACACTCCTTGATTCAGAATAGTTATTAAGGCAGTGCTGGGCACTAGTTTCCCTTACCCATTAGCGAGATATAGGTGACGACGAACTACATCATCAAGTAAGAATTACAAAGAAAAAGCTCGAGGCGTTGGTTGCAAAAAAAAACTTTGCACCACCAATTCATCAGTTTTAACGTTACAAAGCAGCGCTTGCCCAAAAAATAATAAAAAATACATTTAGAGGCTAAGGCTAAGCCTTAGGCTGAGATTTGTAAAATGAACTTTAACTTCGATTATGCAAAAATGTCGACCAAAGCAAGTTTTTCGTATTTACAAAACGAATTTTTCCTAAGTGTCAGCAACAAATTATTCAAAGTAGTAAACTTAAAGTTTAATTTAATTTCTCGCTCATACTTTGGCAAAGTTCGTTTTGTAAATACGAAAAATTAACTTAGCTCGTCGTCTTTTGTCTTTGCTTAACTTTGTGACTTCGAGTCACAATCCGTCAAAGTCAAAGTCAAACAATCATTTAACTATTCCTTTTTCCATCCTCTAAGTTTATTCCTTTAAGAAAAACATAGTTTTTACACTAGAAAACGCCATTTTTTAAGCTACTGTTCGTTCACTGTGCCGACTTCCCTGAGATGTCCGAGCAAGAAACTCTTCTAGGGATTGTTCTTTTCAAATAAACCTAAATGCTATAGAGTACACTTTGAATAATTTTTTAGTGGAATCTAGACTCACGTTGTCTTTCCATACATCTTTATCTGAGACGTAGTCTACACTTTTGTAGTGTGATTTTCAATTAAAATACTTTTAATGTGAGTTTTAAAGTTAGGAAATGGTATCTTAATATATGCTCCGGAATCTTATTGTAAAATCGTATACAGTTCTCCATAAAAGAATCGTTTACCTTAGTTAAACGAAATCGTGGTACCATGAGTTTGGACTTAGTTCTAAGGTTAATATTATGGATATCTTCTTTCTTAATGAAATTATATATATTTTTACGGGCGTGCAGAATATTTGAGTAAATGTAGTGTAATGCCACAGTCACGATACCACTCTCTTTAAACGTTTCTTTGAGAGAAACCCGAGAACCTGAACGGTACACAGAACTAATTGCTCGTTTTTGCAACACAAATATGGTTTGTATATTTTTAGCTTTACCCCACATGAGAACTATACCCCACTCATAAACCTCATCCTTACAGCTGAACAATTTACTTGAATTGAGCTCAGATTCTTACATAAGCGATATCATAATAATAGTGCTAACGTTAATATATTATATTAGACATATAATCGCGATCTGTTACGGATCAGTGGCACATAGGCCTGACGTTTAGGTTATCTCATTTCGACCTTACTATCTGCTAAAACTTCACATTTGCCATTTCATTGTGTGGCGACTTACTATGCACTGCATAATATATTAGTTATTTACTACGTCTGATGTGTATCTATGTAAATAGTCATTTGTGTTAGATAATAATATTGTGTTAGTTGTTAAAAAAAAATATAATGAATAAATGGTACCTATTTAACATATGAACTTCTATATTATAATACGTATAATATAACATATACATATAGATGTTATGGCTTTTTTAAACTTCACGAATTTGTGGTTATGGCAAACCTGCGTATTGAATATAATTGAAATATATACATATAAGGTACGAGCATATAAACAAGTGGGACAGAAACGTAACAATTTTATGAGGGAGAGGGAGGAGGGGGGCTTTATCAAACAAATACTCTTACAGTAGGTACGCGTAACAATGGCATTTCATTAATGCGAGTTTATGCGACACAGAAATAAGAAAAACGAATTAAATTACACAATGCTACAAAGTTTTATACCAAGGGAAATTCGTTCGTATTATAAACGTGGAGAGTGAAATCAAGTGCAAGTGTAAGTCTGTGGAGGCAAACGTGTGTTAGCTATAGTGCGTTGCGTATGACCGATAGTGGGGTCAATGAACTTCTTATCAGCGGCTCCAAGTGCGTGCGCTTACTCAATCTTACTTTCAGAAGAGTTCAGTTGCTCTAGGTACTTAATTAATGCGGCTCTACAAAGCGTATGTGACTAAATATACCTTGGAACACTGTACCTGCGTCGACCCTTCAATGTCGCACCAAGTTTTATAGAGCCAGTAATTATTTTGACGTCATGAGGAGGTAAGAAGACAGCTTCGTGTTGCCTTATGTAATCAAAAGAAATAAATTATGTATAACTGTCATAGATTTAACACTTGTGCTTAAAATAACGCGTACACGTGGATAGGCTACTAAGCTGTACACATTTAGCAGTCGATACAAATCCTCCTAAGTACTACGTTTTAATTAATATAATAGTTGTCACTATAAATATACTGTAGTTCTAGGGCCGGCAGACTGATTACGATTACACATAGAACTATTCTACTCAGTACTTGAGCAACATTTATAGAAATACAAAATATGATCATCTACATCGCTGTGTTCCAAGCCGAGGTGTACACATCTTTTAATGCGACGTTAGAAGACATTCCTCCTAATGTTATTTAATTTTCTCAAACAGTTTCGCGACGTGGAAAACACTATTGTCGAAGACAATTAACTCCAATTTTGCCTGGACCATGTACAGGAACGGAACCGGCTTGTTGGAGTCGGTAAAGACACGCTAATTACTCAGAATCCAGAGCACGGTGGCCTTAGACACGGATTTTGCCGATGAGTTAGCCAGAGCAGAAGCGGAATCGACAGAACTCTGAATTCGGATCTGAAGCAACGGAACAGGGTGTATCTCGTCAAAGTTACAAAGCAGCGAGGCCTAGGTGGAAAAATATTTGCTTTATAAGTAGGTAATCCTCTGACCTAGACCACTTGTAATTACGAATCATGTTCAGTTTAGTTTACTAATTATTGTTTAAATTGTGAAGGAAAAGCAAGTAGTTTACTCTTTAAAACGTGCGAAATCCTAATCCTCGTTGGCCCAGTTTGATGTATCTACTATGGGCCTTTAAGCCACAGTTCTTCAGTCCCAATAAAACGTAAAAGGTGTATGGGGATGGTGACTGTACACACCAGGAGTAAAGTTAAAGAATGCATATTCAAATAATTTTAAACGCGGTACATATAATAAGTTAATTCGGCTTGTGTAACGCAAATAATGATCAGTCTGTAAAGGAATTTAGTAAACAGCGTCGAGGTACAGTCGAGTTCGCCACAAGAGGGTTCTGATACGTGTTTGTTTGATCAAGTGTCTGCTTATCAACGCGGCTTGGTTAACTTTCAAAGAGTTCTTTATGTTATTACCCTACTATGTCCTACCCGGATGCATAACTATCTATAAATGCCTTTATGAAAATAATGTGAAATATTTACTGGACTGTAAACAAACACAGGCTTACTATCTATGTTACATATTTGTAAGCACTTTTATGTTAATAAATGTCTCTACTTATCTACTTACATAATATTATTATTATACACATAAATCTTTTTCATTAATCAATAGAAAAAACTGGTCTTGACTTCTTGAGTGTTTCGAGTAAAAGCAGTGTTATATCAAGGTCGTTAAGTTCCTCAATGAGGTTACTTATTTAAAGAAGTATTAAGCGCCTTACAAATATATAATCGCAGGGTCCAGTAAAATATCAATCGACGGAACTGTTTATGAATCTGTAAATGAGAACAGGCGTTTTAATTGTTTGCAAAGAGTTGTAGTTTGTAGTAATCTGCACATTTCTAAACTAGATTATTAGTTATAAGAAGTGACTTACAAAATTATTTTAGTTAGATCCTTTTTTTCCATCCTCAGGATAGATCATTATGTATCTTATTAAGAACGGAACGTCCAACCAGATAAATATTTAACAGAAAACGGAACGTTGTCATTGTATTACATAAGTTTAATAGTTAATATGTGTCCCTTTGTAGTAGGTATGTATTGTTAGTGAGATTATAACGCAGAGAGAATTATTTTAGTACGTTAGGTATCCAAAACATTATCTGTCCAAAAATAATTTTGTTCCGATTTCGCCTTTATTAAACGTAATGTAACAAGTTTTTATCAAATAATATTCAATTTTGTGAGTATTTTCATTTTCTTTGAAAACTGAGTTCCATGTAATTTTTCGTCTTAGAAAACTCGATTATTTTTAATTTGCAAGAAACATCTAAAATATTTTTTGCATATTTTACTTGAATGTAAAACTTTAGAAATGGTAACATTTTAATCTATCGTAAAAAAAGGAGAATCGTTCCGTTTCAAGAAGCTGGCGTTTACAATTTATAGAAGTACCCAATTCAAATGAATGAATGAATGAAAATCTTCATAAAGCATAAATACTGCAATTGAGCCGCTGATGAAAGTCGGTAATTTGTAATTTATGTATATTAAAGTTTAACGAATATTCTAGTATTTTTCGTCCATCTGGTTACAACAAAACGGAACGTCTGACTGCAAGTCAACACAAAATAATTCAAAAACAAAACAAAAAAAAAAAAAACAAATGATTTTGCTTGACGACTAGATTAATTTTATCAATTCAAGGTCAGGATGTTTGTATTTTAATCAGTCTGCTTGGCCCTCTGAATGGCTCTAGGACTATCTGTACTTTCTACCGATTCTTTTATATAAATCAACCACAATGGCTTCAAAAATGTTGAAACTACTAAAATCCGAAGTAAGTGTTACACTTTAATTCATGTAATTTGAAGTCAATTAAATTATCAGTCCAATTTTGATGCACTGCTTAGGCTATGAACTTCGTAAGAAAGAGAACCATTAAATGCATACTATTACCATATTGCTAAGTCATTTTGTTCTTCGATAGTGTTCTAGAAAACTACGCATAAAAATCTTTTTATCCTGCTTGTTTTAGCTTCACCAAGATGTGTGAATACATTGGAGGGAGAATTTGGTATTTAAAGTTTTCTACATAATTCATAGTAGTGCGTTGCGCAGTTGAACATTTGTGAATTCGTGACTTAGACTTAAATCACATTCCTATTTTGATTTTATGAATTTACTCAATGCGTTCTATAGAATGTACAATTAGTTGTTTTCATATACTTGTTGGGTACACACTGTTGATATAGGTATAAATATGTAGCGTCTCGTACTATGGATATATTTGTAGTATCTCTTCCATTTATTGCCTTATATTTGCCTTATAGCATGCAATATCACTTTTGTGGCTACATTTTAAATAGATAGTCTATTATAGTACGTAACAAGACTATTTTAAAATCAATTGCATTCTCAACAATAATTCAACTCCACTAGAAGTAAGAAACAAAAGTTCTAATCACTGACATAACTTTGCAACAGCGCCTTATTAATTAGATTAATTAAATCTACACTTTATCAATTATGAAAGGGTCTCTGGTAAACTCTATGCGGTGTTAGTACTTGGTACTTGGTGTAACTTGGTACTTGGGCTGGTGTGGGCAACTCGACGTCAAGGCGCCTATTTTGCGTGAGGTGGGTCATACTCGTGCCACCCAAGCTCCTCCAGGAATCTCAGTGTTCGCCCTGTAGTTGGCAATGCCGGAACACTATAGTACGATATGCACAGCCGTTTCTTCTGCCTTCATGCACGCTGTGCATAGAGGGCTGGCTGTGACTTAAATTGAAAGGTGTTTATTGTAAGGACCATGACCCATTAGAGTGGGAGTTACAGTGCGAAGCTCTTGCCTTTTGAGTTTAATTAATATTTGAGATAGACTGGCATTGAGAGTGCTTCCCTCGCCTGTCTATAAACTGTAATGGTGGTCCATGTGTTATTATGTGAAGATTTTGTACCTTTGTATATAGTTGTTCTGGACCATTGGTATGGGAGAGACACTATGGGTTCTAGTCCTACAGCGTCTGTCTCCAACCCTTTTCTGGCTATTTTATCAGCTGTGTCATTGCCACATGAGCCGCTGTGTCCTTTAATCCACTGTAGAGTTATGTGTATACATACTTCCATGAGTGCTTGATGGCATTCATAAATGACCCCTGAGTTTATGTCATAGCTGTTCATTGCTTGAAGTATTGACATGCTGTCGGAGAGTATTCAAATGGATCTAAGCCGTATTAGGTTGCATCTCATTTAAGATCAGCAGTAAGTATACTTAAAAACTTTCTCTGCCGTGTACCACAAATAACGATAATAATGATCCTGTTTGTCGCATATGTAGAGCTCTAAAATCATTGACTTGGATATATTTTTCCCGAGTTACGATTCATATTTAAAACATGAACAAAAATGGAATATGTTGAGTAATTAAACATCTCGTAGTTGCATTTTTATATTATGACCATTTCCATTAATATGATTAGTAATTTTTAATTTTTGTAATTGTATGTAGGTAGGGTTGTATTGGATAGTCCCTTAATTTAAAGTGCCTTTATTATGTCACAAATTATCTGCGTAACTGTTTACGTATACAAATTTACTGTTATTGTAATCCATGTTATCTTTGAATAGAATAGAATAGACATTTATTGCAATGCCACAACACATAGATACAAAAAAAAATTTTTAACAGACAAACAAAACAAAATAAAAAGAATTAATAAACAAAATAAAGAATACAATAAAAAAACAACATAAAATAAGACAAATCAGACAAAATGCAAAAAACTAAATATAATGACTACAAATTTTATACTGTCATAAGTGTGGTTGATGGTGACGGTTGTAGGTGAGCAATGTGACAGTTTGTATTTTGTAGCTACGTCATAAATAAACTTTCTTCTTGGGCTATCTTCAGTGATGTGTTCTTCAATGTTTTTTTTCAAGAATTTGGTTTATGCCCCTAAACCAAATTCTGTTGAATATGTTAGTAGGTTTATTTGAATTTTCATTTCTGTGCTTTTGTGTCCAGTTATAATAAAAATATGTATTTTTCATTCCACTTCATTTTTATATTCTAGGCCTGTCTTGGAATATTTGACCAATATGAATCCTATAATGCATAGTTACCATTCTTGGTCACATTCGTCTCCCTTTCAGACTTACAATGTGTCAATGGCAAAAGCCATAACATTTATATGGTATGTTGTATAGAATCAATGATGTATAGAAAAAGTGAAATGAAATTATTATGAATATTTCTGGTCTACTTTTAGTCCCACCTCCTGCATAGAAGCTACAGCAGCTCAGCTCCATCCACTAAACTTTACATTGACGGACAGTATGTCGAATCAAAGACTAGCAAATGGATTGAGCTCACCAACCCAGCCACAAACGAAGTTATTGGCAAGTATGTACTCGCTTATATCTAAGTTATAACATTATTGCTCTAAAAGAAAAGAGATAAATTAAATGCCTTCCTCAGATCACTATCTTACCTATGATGGGAGGACACACTCAAAAACATTACTCAGTACCAACCAAATTACTTACTTAGAAAATGAAGCTATTCTTGAACTAAAACTTACTGCGAAGGGAGTAAAATGAGAAAACTAGTGGTCCTCATTCAGTTATCATCAGTCTATGGCATTGTTAATATTATGTCTCTTAAAAAACTTCCAACACAGGATTCAATCTTCCCTCTTTCTCCAGTGCTATATTGGAGTCTTAAGTTGTGTTTGCCTGTACTATCTAGGAACTTTTAAAATCTGTGATTGAAACTACTTTTGAATGCAAACTGTAGTACATGCTTCATTATCATTACAGAATGATTTTTTTTTACTCAAACTTGATTAGAATATTTTATATAGATTGTTTGTTACATTTGTTGCATCAACTTTTATCAATGGTAGGTAATTTTTTGTAGTTATAAATATCAATTAGGTTAGAGATAATTACTTGTAAATGAAACAATTTCCTTACTAATATTTATTATATAAATAAACCAAATTTCAGAGTCTGAAGTTTTAATTGACTTACAAATAGACAATAGATAACATTTATCATTGTTTTTACTGCAATTAGGGTAGGGGTATGAAGAATTTAAATCAAACATACATAACAGTATTATACAACTTATATTACAATGTGCCTGTATTAACAGACACATTTATACTGTGTAATTAAAGAGATACTTATGTTAGTATGAGTTAATGTCACTCATACTAACATACTAACTAAATTTCAAGCTTAATTCATGCGTACACACATCAAAAAAAGTTTGCGATCACTTCGAAAAACTGAAATCTTTTTTGTTACTGTAGATTGTTATAATTTTTTCTTCTTTTTAGATTCTTTATTTAAAAATAAATTAGAACATAAAACAATGACCCCGTTCAATTGTTTTTTCATATAAAAAGGCTTTCAGTCCTAGCTTACGCTCATTCAGAAATCTGATTTAGTCAATTATAAGCGATTCAAGATATTTTTCGCGGAAAGTTGTGATTGAAAAAATGCCAAGAGGATTATCAGAGGTTTTACGAGCTAGAATAGTAACTTTGAGGGAAGAAGGATACACCACGAGAGTAATAGCACGCAGACTTGCTATATCCCAATCCTGTGTCTTGGCTACGTTGCAGAGGTATCACGGAATGGGAAATTTAGCTGACCGACCCCGCAGCGGTCGCCCAACTGTTTTGACAGCTGCCCAAAAGCGCTATATTAGATTGCTGGCAGCCCGTGACCCAACAATCAACGCCACTAAAATAAAAGCAAAAGTCAGGGCCGCCTCTGGGCTTGAAGTTAGCACGCAGACCGTTTGCAATAGCTTGCACCAGGCTGGATTACGAGCACGGAGGTCTTGGCGAGCTCCGCTCAATTCCCGGCAACGTCAACAACGAAGATTGCAGTGGGCTAGACTTCGGCAAAATGAAGAAGGTGAGGACGAAAACATTTGGCAAAACTGTCTCTTCGTTGACGAATCCCGAATCAGCACTCATCCAGATAACCGACGTGTCCGTGTCTGGAGAAGACCAGGCGACCATGAAAGGCACTGGAACAGTTCAGCAAGGCGGAAAATCGGTGTCCTTTTGGGGTGGCATTATGATTGGAGCTAGAACGCCTTTGATCCCGTATCGGGGCTTCATGACAGCAGACATGTACAAAGCAGTTGCTATTGATGATATCGTCAGACCATTCCGAGTAAACCATGGGCACCAATTTGTACTGGTCGATGATAATGCGCCCGCACATCGAGCTCAACGAGTCAATGCAGCTCTTCAAGAATACGATATCACACGATTAGACTGGCCTGCCAGCTCGCCCGACTTAAACCCAATAGAGCACGCGTGGGATGCTCTTAAACGAGCAGTATGGAACCGTGAGCCACATCCCCAGACAGTTCCAGAGCTCAGGGAAGCCGCTATTGAAGAATGGGATAGGTTACCCCAGGAAATGCTGGATAACTTGATCCTCAGCATGCCCAGGAGGATCTTCGCATGTATTCGAGCCAGGGGAGGAGTTATTTTATATTGAATTCACACCTTTTAATAATAAATTGTTGTTTAAGTTTAATTAAACAGTCTTTTTCTTTCTATGAAATTTCTATCACTATTACATTATGATTAATGGCTCAATTTTTTTAAATAAATAATAAAAAATAGTTTTATATTTTAATTTCAAACAGGGTATTCCTATTTAAAGAAAGCATACAACATAGATTTTTTCTTGATAAAGTTAAATTTAAAGAATTATAGGAGATTATGCTATTGATCGCAAACTTTTTTTGATGTGTGTATGTACATATGTTTATATGAATGTTATAAAATTCTAAAGTATTGTGCTTTATATTGTAACAATTTTAATTATTTGTCATTAAATTTGCTGCTGTGTAACAGCAGATTTAAAGACAAATAATTAAATTCGTAAAGATATTTGTGTTATATCACATCCATTTCGTACATTTTTATCTTGTCAGATTTATTTGAGAATGTTGATTATTACGATGTATGATTTGATTGATTACATTGTGACTTAAGAGTGACAAATGGTAAACATGTTTTTCCCTTCCTTACTATGCTTTTTATTGATAAAAGTTAATGTTGCTTCTATTAAACGTTATTATTTATAACGACACCTGTTATTTTTACTATTACGTAATATTTTGGTTGTCAATTGTTTTTAGATGCGTACTTAACACTTGGTATTGAAATGGATCATCCATATCTATACATGTCTTTCTGTATCTAAGAGATAAAAAACATAAAATAGATACATTCATACTAAATTATATATTATTTGTGAGTAATGAAATTACAGTAATTATCGTTCGATATCAATGTATCAGGTGTTATCAATGTCATACTATTCAAAATTGTTCTCGTATTTTTAGTATACAACGGGATATTAGTGTAGAGAAATAATTTGACAAGGAAGGAATTTATATCTACTAAACTGCTTGTTTTTAAATGGTAGAAAATGTAGATTAGGTGAGGACACTTGCCAGTATGGTGATTAAGTGGCAGCTAAGATTAATATACAAGGTGTAACATAAATAACAACTACCAAAGAATTAATTTTAAATACGCGAAAAACGATTACTTATTATCAATAATCCCATCTGCAGGCTTGTATACGTCACGACATAATGGGAACGTGCCCTTACTTGTAATAACAACTTTAGCCAGGAATTAATTTTAAATACAATCCAATTGCCCTTTGCACAGTTTGACAATTGTAAATATACTATTAGTGATCACTGATTATAGAAAACTAACTTATATAAGAAATATCTAAAATTTTAAGAGTACCAGAAGCGACGCCAGATGAACTGAACGCAGCACTAGAGTCGGCAAAGAGAGCGTACAAATCATGGGGCCAAAGCACTGTCATGACCCGTCAGCAACTTATGTTCAAGTAAGTACTGTTTTCGCACTAGACGACTACTAGATTTACCCAGGAGATAAACGGCAGCACCATGAATTTAATCTAACATATATCCGCTAAACCTCATGCCAAGCATCGCAGTATTAAATAGTTCTATGATTCTAAGCATGAAATTAAATATTCTATTTTTGTATCTCTTATTGGCTATTATGGTGAATGTCCACATGCCGATTTTGTGTTCCACTTTCGCTATGAATTTGTCCAGACATCACAACACTGATAATTCGTGTAGATTATTTATTTCTTCATAAACAGCTTAAGCCAAAGCGTGCAACAACACTTAAACGTAAAGATAATGTGAAATTTAAATATAACATATAAGATACAAAATAATACTTAAAAACTAAACAAAGAATAAAAAGATACTTACACACAACTTTACACCATTTACTACAATCTAACACTTGTCCTAAATTTACAAAGCGACTTAAGGCCACTGAGAGGACTAGTTATTTAGTTTCTATATTATATTATATATATCGTAGTCCTTAAGTTATTATATATTACATTACATGGGTCATCGTTGCCTGATGTAAATGAATAAATTAAATAAAACCTAAATTAATTTAATTCATTCACTAATTAGGTTGATATTTAATTTTACAGATTCGCACGTCTGTTGCGAGAGAACGCGAGCAAGCTGGCGGCTAAGATCACAGAAGAACAGGGCAAAACTATTGCTGATGCCGAAGGTGACGTGCTTAGAGGAATTCGTAAGTAATTAGTAAAATTGTTATTGTTGAAATGAACTGCGCCCTTAGAGATTGAAAACTGACAATAAGATCTTTTTTTTTTTTCCACATATTTTGTTCGCCTTAGGCTGCTAATAGATTGACTGTATGTTTGCAGTTAATGCGTGAAGTCGATTTTCCCTCAAATCTGTGTTCGTTAATGCAACACTTGCTATTGCACAGAGAGTGTCGAGCACTGCTGCAGTATCACTAGTCTACAACTCGGCGACAGTATTCAGAACATTGCCAAGGACATGGACACACACTCCTACAAGACTCCTCTTGGTGTGGTTGGTGGTAAGTGCCTAAATATTCTCAATAACAATAATAATTATAGCATAGTAGACAACCACACCAATTACTTGGTCTCAAATTGAGGAATACCCAGGGCACCCAGATTAGAATAAATCACAAAAGTTCATTTCCCAAATTGGTGTAATTTCTAAATTGCGATACCACAGACCACATAAATACTAGTAATAGACTGGTTAGTGGGCGGGGTCCGCGTTACCTAGCTTATGACCAGACGGGCATATGAGTGTCAACAGTGCGTCAGTCGTCGTTCAAATGGGATACATGATTATTTTGTGGAAAAAATAGAAATATGCCATTATATTATGTCGCGTAAGAAACCAAATTTTAAAAAATACTCCGGGAGCATTGACTTACAAATAAATGGACGACGGGTCTAATACAAAAACCACGAAAAAAATGTCCCAAGTCAACCTATTTAAACGTAGTGACATGTAAAGGAATATGAAAAAGCTAAAACGTTGAATTTAAATTGTAATGTCATCGCAGTACTGTCTAATTTTGCTTGCAACAATTGAAATGCGCAAAAAAAAACACCATATTCAGCTTCTACTGGAAACTTATCAAAATGCACCATATGTAGCTTCTAGTGAAAAGTACTTGAACACAGGTATAATGGAGTAGTCTTTATTATTTATAAATAAATTTTATATGTAAATGTTGAATTTTATACAATGCCATTCATTACGAGCTAGGGTGTCTGATTTTTTTTCTTGAGTTTCGAGAATTCTCGTACCCGATTTCTCGAGCTATTCGAGAATTTTTTTAAAAATCGTAAAAAGTCAGCTCAGTCAACTATAAAACTAAATGTGAACTTTTCGAAAGTTGTTTTGGCCTGGGTGGTCTGAGTTGTGCCCCGAAATAAATTCCATCGTTCTTGGTCCCAGGTTCGATTCCCGGTAGAACCAATTTGGTAAATGAACTTTTGTAAATTGGTTCTGCTCTGGGATTCTGCTGCTCTGATACTCATGGGGAGTATGTACAGAGAGTTCCCTAGTTTCAGACCAGGTGATTGTCTTACAATAGAATACCAAGACCAGAACCATTTAGAAAAGTTAATTTGTTAAATTGATCCTACCGGTATCGAACCCGGGAACTTCTCATCCAGTACCCACAGTGCAAACCGTTAGGCTGTCTGTGTTAACCTTGGTTAAGAAACAAAGAAGGTAATTGAAGCAGACTGACACCGCAAATTAAATAGGATTTTTTTTTAAGTTTAAGCAATTTGTAGCTTTCACATGCAAACAATGCATAATAATACAAATAGTACAACCTTAAGTTGGTTAAGAAACAAAGAAGGTAATTGAAGCAGACTGACACTGCAAATTAAATAGGATTTTTTTTAAAAGTTTAAGCATATTTTGTCATTCATCCAACTTTTGATTTTTAATGCATTTTGGCGTTGTAAGATATTCTCTGTTAATACTTGTCACTTTCTCCTTAAGTTCAAGCTATGCTTACTGGATAAATTCCTGTATTCTCTCCTTTCTATGCACAGTTCACTCATTGATGTAATCACATACCAAAGCTTTAATATAAATTTAATAAAATTTAATATAATGCCTAGGCACCAAAAACCATTTCTTACTAGCAATGTTGGCAAAGCTGTTTTTTTTAATTTTCGTAATATTTTGTTGGTTCCGATATATCCGATTGTCTGAAGTAAGCCGAGCAAACAAATTTGTATATTTTCGGGATAAAATGTTCTTCTCATTGCGCTTCAGCTATTATATTTCTCCATAGTGAGCAAAGTATAGGATCTCGAGGAAAACTGAAATAAATACATTTATTATGCCATGCCATAAGAAAAGTACCGATGTTTCGATTTTTTTTAATTCAAATTCAACGTAAAGCCAAATTTTCGTAATCTTGAAAACCGATTCATAATAAAACCGTTATGCTTTAGGGAGTTTTGGATGCTTATTACAAAGAAAAGACTAAGTTAGCTTAGGTTTGTTTTGTAATATTCTAAAAAAAAAAAACCTAAAAGTACTTTCGGGATTATGGAAATTCATGCAAACGTTATTTCGGGCAAATGTATTTTCGGTCTTCTGATTCGTAACCCCAAGCCGTAGAAAGAGTACAACAATATTTGAAAGTATTACTAACATGTATTAAAAAATATTTAAATAATAAAATTAGCATCAAAGCGACTCTATGAAATGTTTGTTCTAAATATTTCAAACGCTTGTGTTTGAAACAATTGAAATTGACGTGTTGGGTCTCGTTTAGTCTTTTACGCAAGCTATGAGTCGGAAAGAGACAGTTAGCTATTTGATTATTTTGATTGCTTTTGTAATTTATATTTACGATTAATTTAAATATAAATTAAATACTATATATACTAGTGTATAAAATAACACTTTTAAATGATAACTATGATAAGACAATGTAGTACTTACTGAAAATATGATATAACATCCTGTTATTTCACTTTAGTTGAGTAATTTTTACAAGGTTTTACTACACAATACGGCATCATTGACAAGCGCGCTGTCAGTCGAACAAACGAAGACTAAAGCGTGAATGACGCTCTGTATACGATTTTAACGCCCTATAAGTTCGGACACTTTTTAGCGCGGACCCGACGTCCATATAATTGTAAGTCAATGTCCGGGAGTGATTTCCTTCATTGTTCATGGAGTGATTTCCAAAACTATTTTCTTGCAATTCGGTAATAACAATATACATTGGTTGCTAGCCATCGCCGCCGTCAAAAGAACAATTCGAATGACGCTCAATGAATTGCTTGCACTAGTGTCGTATTACATTTGGTATTGGGTCCGCGTGTTGTAATCAAATTATCGATATGTAGAAACTCTGTATTTAGAAACTCGGTTTTGATTTAGTTCAACTTTTTTTTTATTATAGCGGTACCAATGTGTAAACATAAATTGTTTGCAGGTATTTAAAAGCTAACAATTTTGATTACTTGTATGTTTGGTCCCAACACTCGCAATAGTTTTTTAAAATTTTCAATTTAAGTAAACACGATGTAATAATGGAGAAAAGGAAATGTAGATAGAAGAGGTACAGTGTCGATGATTTTACAATGGACGTAAGTTCGTGGAGTATCAAATGAAGACTTTATGAGATTGGAGATTTTCTTTCTCTACTTGCTTATTATACGTCACCTTCGTCCGCTTGAGTTCTTAGTTTTATCACAGGCATGATTTACATTTGCAGTTTTTGTATTGATTTTTTTAGTTTCCCGCCGGATCCTTTTTAAAGGAGAAATGGGCTGAAGCAACAGGCAGTAAAAGCTGGGTACCTACTAAACATTAAATTATGTACATATGAATAACAACCGAAAAATAATTAACAAATAAATCATTTGGTTAATCAGGTAATATATGACATGAACCTCAGAGTCGCATTCACAAATTATAGACTACATCTAAATGTGAAAACATTTCTGAAGCATTGTCCGTTTATTTTTCGTCATGTTTTCGGGAAACAAACGATTCGCTTCTTCGCCTTCGGAAATAAGTATCTTTATTTTCTTGACAAGCTCGTCGACGCTATAGGTATAGTCATGTTCAGTCAGTTCAGAAAGAGGTAATTGTTGACCAAATATATCGTATTTCAGGGAGAATAAAGATTTTTATGATGACTGTGTTTTAATATTTCAACCCTTCCAGTGATCGGATTGACTTGAAATCTAGTAGGTTAATGAAAATACGATGACAGTTTAATAAATCATTAATACTGTGATTGTAGCATGTAGCTACGTATAGGCCGCACACGCCTGCGTAGTAGTTAGATGTTTTGCTGTTTTTCCCACACCACCGAATAGAACAGCACGGCATTGTTAGAGATATTATCTTTATTACAATAAATACAGAATATTTTTTGAAATATACGGAGACGTACACACAGGTCAGTAGTTGCCCTGTCTATATTTCAGTGCAAACGAGAGTCGATATTTATAAGAGCTGTAACGTTAACCATATATTCCTGGGCCATATATTCCTGGTAAAAGTGTTACCAGAAATATATGGCCCTTATTTTGTCTCTATTTCTGGTTATATACTCGATGACCCTAATTATAGCAACTGTAAAGCAATGCCTAGTTCAATATTCCGCTAGTTATGAAACATAATGTCGATATCAATTAAATGTCACATCCCTATCTATAGATTGTCAACTTTTTGTTTTTGTTCCAAGAAGTTTGTGTTCATAGGATTCTTAGCTTTTATGTGACTAGTAATAATAAAACCTTATTAGATCCAAATAAGTTTTTTTTTAACAAAAGTTTTTTGTTATTGTCTATTTTCGTTTTATAATTTATAATCAATCAAAATTATGTTATCTTAGTACTAATGTAAGATTACGTTTTCAAATGTGTGCGTGTGGCGACACCGGTTTTGATACAAATGTTGCTTGATGCCATTTCCATTCTTTTTTTTCTTCCGTGCGCGATACGAACTCCCCTGTGCAGGAACTCACGTGGGTAGGTATATCATACTACATTGTCATATAAATAATCATAGTATCGTGAATATGTTAAGGTACCCCACCCACCGGTGATACCCACCGGACTATTTTTCTTTTGGATTGTGTAGGTGAATTAACAAGAATTTATGTGATCATCATACATACATGTATATAGATTTGTTTGTGATAATAAGCGGTTACACTGTCGCAGCGGCAACGTCACTGCGTGACTGAGAAATTATTTCAGTGTCACATGCACAGTTTAGGTAGGTTACGGGAAAGAACGAAAATTAATATTTGTCTCCTTGCGTTAAAGTGTTATTTCTGGTTATATTTTTTTTCGCCCTGGTTAATCGATTGAGCTCACTAAAATTCGAGACGCCATCTATTGACACACTATTGAAGTATGTAGTTAAGTGTTGTCACTAATCTATCTAAAGAAAACTTTTTAAGGACAGCCTGTACACTCATTCATACAAATCTATCGATGTGATGTGAACTTTCTTATAATTTTCACATATATTATATAAATAAACACCATTCTGTATTATGTAAATAAACTTCACAATATTCATAGTTTGGGGCGCCATCTGTTGACACAATATAAACGATCTAGTTGAAGGTTGTTACTAAATAGTCGAAAGGAAACTGTATTGCATCTATATACTATGAAAACCCTGACTAAATATTTTTGCAGGTGTCGCTGCATTCAACTTCCCCGTAATGATTCCTCTGTGGATGTTCCCGCCGGCGTTGGTTACTGGCAACACATGCATCATCAAACCCTCAGAGCAGGACCCTGGTGCTACCCTTATGACCATGGAGTTACTGAAGGAAGCCGGCGCCCCTCCTGGTGTAGTCAACGTAGGTATTTTATACTGAACTACTTTGTACTCCAGGTCGAAGATATAATAAGCCTGTACGGAATTTGTTAACGCTTCATGTTCAAAACCTAATAAGTGGTACAAAATTCCCATATTATGCAATGGTATTTTATAGCGAGGGCCTGTATTCAACAGTGAATCGACAATTTTGATTTAAATGCTTAAATAATTGGAATTCCTATGTATGTTATAGGTAGTCCACGGCACGCACGACGTAGTGAACTTCCTCTGCGACCAGCCGGATATTAAGGCGGTGTCGTTTGTCGGCGGAGACGCGGCTGGCAAGCACATTTATAAGAGGGCTTCTGCTGCAGGTAAGCTTTGCCATGCTTTTGACAAGAATTTCAATCAAAACCGAAATTACTAAAGAATCCAAAAGTTTAATTTGCAGTCGTGACGCATGTACGCTATGTAACAACAATAATAACAAATTTGTGGGGAAAATTTAATTATATTTTTTTAATTACAATGTTGACGGCCACACCGAATAAACGTATCAAAACACCAACTTTACAAAAATAAAAAAAATTTGGAAACTTCGAATACTCTTCACCTCATAGATTTATTTCTAAGAAATTGTATGATGAAAACGATGGAAATAAATTACCCGTTTTTGTGTCGTAAATGAAATTTTAAATTTTTTAGAGGGGTATTATTTTATTGTATGTGTAATTTATTTAATATTTATGTTTTCCCTGGAAAAAATATTTTGTGTTAAAAAAGATTATCCTTTTTACGTGAAAAAAAAATTCTTTAAATCTTTATTTATTTAGGGGCTTTGACCGGTATTGAACATGTCAGCCCCGTTAGAAAAACGGTACATCACAAAAACACTTATAAAATCCAGACAGATAAATCAAAATACTATCTAACTAAACATGTATACAAAACTCCTCGGCACTACATGTTGGCTCTGACGAAATAGATTGAAGCCACTCAACATTAAATGTACGGAAACCAGTTTGTGCAAATAACCGCGTCCTGATAGGTTCAGTCCGAACACACTTCATGAGCAAATGATGGACATCCTCAGGAATCCCACACACTTCGCAATTCGGTGAGTTCACCCTCCGCATCAAATACAAAAATTTCTTTAACGGAACGTGTCCGGATCGAAGCCTGTGCGCGCTGACAATTTGACCCCTGCTTAATTAACTTAACATGGTCAAACCAAGGGACTCGAGGAGGCTCACTTTGCATGGTCTTGTACCAGATTCCTTTAGATTTATAACTAATAATAGAAATAACAAATATTATAAGTCTGATAAAAAAAAATTGTAAAAACTAATATTTTTTACCGTGTATTCGGGGGAACGTCGATTATTACTTTTCGCTAAAGAATCCCCGACACTTTGTTTATACAGGCGACAAAGAAGAGTTGTATATAAAACAAAGTCCTTCTAAGAACTTGATTGAATCTATTTAGTGTTATATGTTAGATAATTAGATTTATCTTTGTTGTTAATAATAAGTTTTAATCTTAGTTGATTGTGTTGTTCAGGCAAGCGCGTACAAAGCAACATGGGTGCGAAGAACCACGGCGTCATAATGCCCGACGCGAACAAGGAGCATACATTGAACCAACTGACGGGTGCAGCTTTCGGTGCAGCTGGCCAGCGTTGTATGGCGCTTAGCACCGCCATCTTTGTTGGTTAGTTACCGCTGTCTGATTAACCTTACATAGTTTCTAATCATATTATTAAAGATAACAAACTGACAGTTGCTGTCATTTTGATAATTTTGAAAATAATGTTGCTACGTTGTTTAATGATATTTGGTTCTGTTATCAACTTAGAGGATGGAAAAGAATAAAGGAAAGGAGCTGCCTTATATACGTAATAAACGTCCCTACCTGAACCAAAAATGTCCACCACAAATGGCGGATTTAGTGTTGTACCATAATCATAGATAAGTCAATATCGACATGCAAATGTATGGCTTGAATGATGAAACTGTTGTTACTGTGTTTTATGTTTGTAAATTTGTGTAATTTTGAAAATAATGTTGCCATGTTGTTTAATGATGTTTGGTTCAGTTCTCAATGAACTTATTGAAACAATTAGTCAAAAAAACGTGAAATATTTTTGACTGTTAATTTATAAACAATATTTAATTTATGTTTTGTCACATCTGTCATTTCAAATGATTGATTTAAAAATTAATATAAACAAATGGAAGTTTTTTTTTGGAATCAAAATTGAATATTTTTGTTTTTTCGAACAAACCAATGTTTCGGGCGCTTTACAGATCCCATGTTATTTCCTATTAATATCAACAAATTATTAAAAACCTATATTTCACTGAAAACCTAATGGTAAATCTCAGTAGATCAAAGCATTAAGCTACCAAGACTGTAATATGTATAATAACATTATCCGCATTATTATGTATGACGGTATTAATTATCTTTATTGTTAAGGCGAAGCCAAGGAATGGATCCCAGATCTAGTGGCCCGCTCCCAAGCGCTGAAGGTGAACGCGGGTCATGTACCTGGCACTGACGTCGGGCCTGTTATCTCCGTCAACGCTAAGAACAGGATCCTCCGCCTCGTCGAGTCTGGTAACAATTATATTTAGTATTGTCATAAATTCATAACGTACAAAACAGACTCCTGATTACAATTCTGTCATAATCATAACCAAAAAATGGTGCATTTCCAGATAGTAGCAGTAGAGCTCGTTGTGAAAGATTTCGTTCAGAAAAGTCGTCCATTAATAACGTACATTTAAACATATGTATATTTTAACGATAAAATAAACTTAGTACAGAGTATTAAACAAACCGACCTCAAAAGTTCGTAAAATTACGTCTATGTACCAAGTTTTATTGAAATCGGTTACGGATTCATCCCCTAGTTTGCCACCCTTAGACGTGGAATATTTTCTTCAATGTTTAGAGGTAATTGACGTAAACTCTTTCCAACAAAAATAGAATCATCAAAATTGTTTACAAATATCGCGTAACATACATTAAAAAAAACAGTCGAATTGAGCACCTCCTCCTTTTTTTGATATCGGTTTACAATCCAGCAACGAACAAGTACCACCGTGGTGACTTTATCTCGGCGATAACAGTTTCGCTTTTAGAACATTACAGTGATAACAAAGAAGATTACAAAAAGAGCAAAATTATCATTTGGTTTCTCATATAAAATTTGCAAACATTTTTGCGCATATTAAATTATTTTTTGCTGGTGTTTTTTTCTACTTTTTTGTTATACCTTGTGTATATATAAGATCGATCGACATCAACACATTCTTAGGAAATTTCATCGTTTTCACCTTCGTGTTACTTTAATTAGTCTACATGCTAAGCGACAGAAAAGAGAAATAGTGACTCTATTGAACCACACACACCACACCACATGTGAACTTCTATAATACGCACTGTGTATTATAGGGGCTATTTTTCGGACATGGGTTGTGAGCCAATATTTATAGTTATGAAAAAAAAATTTTGAAACTTGCATGAATTTTATGCAGTATAAAGTGAAAAATTATAACAAATCAATATAACAAATTGGCATACATAGTTCGAAAGTACTGCTTAAGTTGGACCTCCTATTGCTAAGCTCGTAACTTTAATTCATTCTGAATAATAATATTGTTTCAAAATTCTCGGAAAATTCCGCCGTATTTGGAAGAGATTATGTATTTAATGTTTACATAATTATTGAGGTTTAGTATTCTTCACTACCTCACCAAGTAAACGAATCCCAATCTCATGGAGTCGAGAAATTATAGGCAATTATTTATATTACTCTGGGTTGTCACATATTTTAGAGGTCCAACTTAAGCATTACCCTCGAACTATGTTTGCCAATTTGTTGTAATGGTTTTAATTTTAATATATAGGATTTTTGTTCACTTTATCCGGATAAAATTTATGCCAATTTCAAAAACTATTTATTCCATACCTATGCATATTTGCCACTCGGGAGTGCCAGTCTAATGTTCTAAATAATTAGATCTATATGTTTTTGGAATAAAAACTTTAGTCCGAAAAATAGTCTTTATTACATTCGTTATCAAGGTTGATTGATAACAATTAAAGCGCTTCAGTTTGATAAAATTTAGATGGCTTAAAAGTTGCCTTGTATATCTAAAAACAACGAAACTAAACGTTACTAAATTCGCAGGTGTAAAAGAAGGCGCCAAGATCGCTTTAGACGGACGCAACATCAAAGTATCCGGCTTCGAGAAAGGCAACTTCGTCGGACCGACCATCCTCACAGGCGTTCAACCCAGCATGGAGTGCTACAGGGAGGAGATTTTTGGCCCCGTCCTCATTTGTTTATTCGTCGATACCCTTGATGATGCTATTAACATGATCAACAGCAACCCTTATGGTAATGGAACCGCAATCTTTACCACAAACGGAGCAACAGCAAGAAAATTTGCGTCAGAGATCGACGTTGGTCAAGTAGGAGTAAATGTACCTATCCCAGTTCCACTATCTATGTTCTCGTTCTCTGGTACACGAGGCAGCTTTTTGGGAACCAACCACTTTTGCGGTAAACAAGGTATTGACTTTTTCACTGAATTGAAAACGGTCGTTTCATACTGGAGACAGAGTGATGTATCTCATACAAAAGCTGCTGTCTCCATGCCCACTCAACAGTAGATCATTATAAGCAGCTATATACAGGGTATTACAAAATTGTTTAAAGAGCATTCCACCAGGCGGTCAGTCTGTCTGTTTGCTAAAAGTAACAATGTAAAGGCATTCCATAAAAAAACCCATTGAAACCTTTATTTTAACTTGTAGTAATACTCATACGTAAAAATAACAGATGCCCCGAAATCTGTCTAAGTTTTGAGTACAAATTTATAAATGCGAATTATTTATTGCCTTAGGTATTATATTATAATTTGTATCGGTAAATGGTTATTTATGTATAAAATTATGTCTTCCATTTTATAATATATAGTAAGGTAATATTGTTGATTAATTAGTAATATGAACACTTGTTTTCTTCGACACCGAATTGTTCTTCTAATAAATTATTGTATTTTCTTATTTATATCTTTTAGTGCTTCTTAGTACCTTTATCTATCACATAATTTATCTTTCTAATTGTACACATTACCTCAAGAATATATCGATAATAACAAATGATGTCACAAATTCATGTTTTTAACTTTTATCGGCAAAAGTGACAGTTACAGAAATTCGTAAACAAATCTTTGATTCGGTTTTCCATACAAACTTAGATCATGGGGTCTACTCCCGTTTTCCGTCCGAAACAATTAATGTCAAGTAATACTCGACCAAATTAAGATGATCCGAATGAAGCTTCATATTTGACATTGTCTTTTAATTTAGTCGAGTATTACTTATTACCCCCCCGTGACGTTCCTTGACTAAAGTTATCACCCATTGTGAGTATACAATACAATGAATCCTCTTAAGCGTCTATACTACCTTAGCTCGAATTTAAATCTTTCCCATACTAATACGGTTCATTTTGCTTGGGTCGAGCGACAGGCACACGGTGTTTATTTTAGAATTGGTTTTTTTTTACCAACGAAAGTAAAACAATTTGAAAAATATACTTCGTTTTAGTATACGGCTTCTATTTAATTCCGTTGATGTACAAAATATAATTCGTATATGTAAAGTACCTATTGAATACGGCGGTTTCCTTGTAAAATTTCGAAGTTTGTGTTTGAATTTTTTAAGAATCGTGTTTTCACGCCGCATAGTAATTAGGGTATATCCTCAATTTTACTATATATTCTTTCCAAGGTGATTGATTCCACACTTTCACTGTTATGCGGAATCAACCAAAGTCATTTGGGGTTGTATAGACTCTTAAGATATATTTTACTTTTATACCGCGCCACACCCCGGACACTCCATACAACAGTCGGAAATTATTTACCTACTACTACTACATACAGCAAGGCGCTATCTTTACACGCGCAAATGTTTGCGTGAAGTGGCAGGGTCACCTCGCACTATTACGTTACCTGGTCAGAGCGGCAACATAGCGAAAATTCTAACGCGAATCTGTTCTAATCTGTTCTAAAATTTGACCTCCAGCGTTCATTACACGGACCCCTTAGGGGTCCATGAACCACAGATTAAGAAACCCTGCCGCAGTTTACATGGTACATGTAGTCATCCGAGTAGACGTTTTTCGATTTTTTTCGAGACTACTCATAGTGAAAACCCGTCTTGACGACTGCATTAATTTTAAAACCTAGCAATAAAACTTATGAACCGTATAGATTACTTTTATCCATTGAAGGGCAGGATACTTGAATATTAATCAGTCGAATTGGCTCGCTCGGCCCATTGAATCGCTTTACTACTATTTTCTACTGATTTTTAATATAAATCGACCGCAATGGCTTCAAAAATGTTGAAACTACTAAAATCCAAAGTAAGTGGTACCTATACTACAACTGCCTCGGTGGCCGAACGGTTACCATGCCGGACTGCCGCTCAGAGGTTCCACGTTCGATTCCCAATTGTATGGCCTACATTTATTTCTCTCATGAGTTTCGCAGTAATTTGTGGTCGTCTGTATGTCTGTCCATGGCACCTGCGATTCAGGGTTCCTCTAGTGCGGCGTTATGACTGTGTGCGTAAAAAAGAAATTGGTGGTTTTAACCACTCTATGTCACTCATTGTATCTATGTTTAGACATAATATATCTCTACTCATTTGGAACACCCTACGAACTATTGGTCATAATATACAGGGTGTAAACGTTAAGTGTGCCCAGGCGATTTGACCAACTTCTGCAGACCCGATTTTTTCGTCTCATACAATGAAATGATACTTACATACAACTGAATCGAAGAGCACTAAATAAAATTTGATCAATTTTATTCATTTTTACGGATAACTCACACTTGACCAAATAATTGACTATGCCCATTATATTTTTATTCGATCAAAAGATAGTTTTATTACTTTATTTGTATCAGTTTTGACGTCCTGTTAAATTATTGTTACCTCTTACAGTAGGAAAACTAAAGCCTCTCTAGAATGTCATATTAAATGTATGGGAGCGTTGAAACGTATGGAATCGGAAACGGGACCTCCGCGGGGCAGTCCAGCATGATAACCGTTCGGCCACTGAGGCAGTTATAATTAATTATATTTATAGAATTCCTAATTTTCGAAAATAGTTTTATTGCATCGTAAGATAAAACTACTCACCTAAGAAGCTGAAATTGGATTTTAAAGTAATTCTAGTGGCGCCATGTAAAAAATGTAGTAGACAACTAACCTTCAACAAAATAAATATTTTTATAAGCTACTAGCAGAAGCTTGTTTTAACTGATGTAGATAGATACTTTGATATTCACGGACTATAAACCATCCTCCGCCTCAAACTTGTCCAAAGTACGACATCTGGCGCCTCCATTGGAACATTGAGCGAACGAAAATACTATATAAATTTTCCTTAATGATATGCTCTAAATTTTATTTGTAACACGTGGAACCATTTAAATTATTTTGTCGCGTCAATTAAAATTCATTCAGTAGAATTTATAACAAAATCGTTACTTGAAATTGTTAAATGAAATTATTCTAAGTATATGTCGTCTACTTTTAGTTTCACCTGCTACATAGAAGCTACAGCAGCTCAGTTCCAACCATTAAACTTTACATTGACGGACAGTATGTCGAATCAAAGACCTGCAAATGGATTGAGCTCACCAACCCAGCCACAAATGAAGTTATTGGCAAGTATGTAAACACTTATGTCAAGCTTTAAAAGAAAAGAATCAAATTAAATGCCTTCCTCAGACCATTATCCTACTTACGGCTGATGATAAGGTAAATATTCAAAAACATTACTGAGTAGCAACGAAATGATTTACTCAGATCAGACATTTTTGCTTCCTTAGATTAAGCTGATTGTGAATGGAGTGAAATAAAATGACAAAACAAGCGTTTCTTACTAATTTATCATCAGCCTATGGCAAAGCATTGTTACTCTTAAAACATTTCAATACAGAGTAAGGGTGCTGGTGAAATTACAGGCACATGGGACTTGTCAACTTGTCTCAGGGTGACGGGCGTAGTGGCAGTGCCCCTCAGATCTTTGGGATTTAAACCTCTGAGTGACACTGCAACTGGAAAGGCCTGTAGCTTACCATCAGGCGCACGACTTGTTCGTCCCGTCACTTGATATTATAAAAAAAAAATCAATGTTCCCTCTACCTCCGATGCTATACTAGAGAAATCTTAATTTTCTTTTATGATATCATGTGACGTGACGAACAAGTCGTGGGCCTCGTGGTAGCGGTAGAATAGACATTTATTGCAAAGCCACAACACATAGATACAAAAACATACGGATAACACGTAGACAAAGCAAAATAAAAAAAAATAAACAAAATAAAAAATACAAAACCAAAAAAAAACAACACACAATAAGACAAAACAGACAAAAAACAAAAAACTAAATATAATAAATAAATAACGACTATACATTTTGTATTGTCATTTGTGCGGTTGTGGAGTACGCAAAAGGACTTCATTCCGCTTTTTTTTATAATCTTAATCTAATCTTAAATATTATTTTTAGAATATTAATACTGCGGCAGGTTGTTTGTTACTTTCGTTACACAAATTTTGATTAGTCAGTATTATACGCAGTGTTTTTTTAACTGGGACTGTATAGGGAAATCCGAAACCATAGAAGATACAAGGAAACTGTCTTAGGAACCATTAAGTCTTTCGGTGAAAATTATTTTGGCATAGTAAATTTTTTGGTCAAGTATGAGTTGTCCATAAATATGAATATCTTCAGACAGAATAAATAACACCGGTGTAAATTAATTTTTAAAGAGGACCGCATCTGCGTCCGCCATCTAAATGATGTGTTCTGTCTTTACCGCACATCAGTGAAACACAGCGTATGTATGAAAAGCGTACCAAGTACCTAACGCTAGTACATAGATATCGTTGTATTTAACGTTTTTATTGTTACTATTATATACTTCATATTTCAGGTATCAGTTGTACTAGATCATACTTAACACTTGGCATAAAATGGATCATCCTTAAGTAAATGTCATAAAACATAAAACTGATACTTTAATACTAAATTATATGATGATCCATTTTATACCAGGTATAAAATGTAAGTAAGTAATAAAATTACAGTAATTATCATTTGATATCAATGTTTCGAATGTTATTATCAGTCATCGGAATTGTGGAAGTCAATTTAGCTAAACTAAAGAACATTCCCTTCTACAAAATCCCGGGATTTCTCGGAATTGATTAAATTGATTATATTTCAATAAGCGTATTATGTATTGAAATTTGAGTACATTGGCGAGAAATTGTACTTCCTATTAAGTATTGGGTACAAATTATTGTCTCAAAAAATAATAATAATGTTGTGGTTGTGTTCCTATAGTTACTTACGTATTTAAACACTTTAGCCTAATTTACATTTTAATAAACGTGTAGCAACCCATAATTTTAGACTCTAGAAAATAAATAGCAAAAATAGAAATTTTCTACGCATTGATGACGAAAATGGGTAAGTCCATACTAAGAAAACGTCCATACTTTAGGTAAATAACTCCCTCCATTCCGATCACTGGTCAAAATTATTTTCGTGTATTTCATTTACAATTTTTTTAACAAGGAATCTACGCACTAAAATGCGAAGTTTTGAAATGGTAGAAAAATGTAGATTCGGTGAGGACACTTGCTAGTATGGCGATTATGTGGCATTTCTTAATGTTAGCTAGGATTACAAGGTACCATTGATACGACATTTCTGATGGTACACGTTGGGCGCGTTCCCATTAGGTATGTCTTAACGTTTTATTTATCGTTGGATGACTGTCGCGTCTAGCCTGTTTGCATATCACGACTATCTGTCGTGACTGTGTCGTAAGACGTTTATTTTATCGTTGAACTACTGTCGTGTCTGACTGTTCCCATTAGACCATGACGACAATTTATCGGTTCACGGCAGCCGCCTTGTCGTTTGCACGACAGAATTGTTTGAAGCTACGACTATCTGTCGTCACATTTTTATCGTGACGTTTTATTTATCGTCAGACGACTGTCGTTCTAGCCCTTCCCATTATCACGACAGTCTGTCGTCGTAACGTCAAAAAAGTCGTGAACGATAGTTAATCGTGTTTTACTATATGTGAACAACTTCATTTAAATATACAAGCCCCGAAACTTTAAACTGGACGAACAGATAGTCGTCCAGTTGAAAGTGTCGCGGCTTGTATACGTCACGACATAATGGGAACGTGCCCTTAGTTGTAATAACAACTTTAGCCAAGAATTCATTTTAATTATAATCCAATTGCCCTTTGTACAGTTGTCAAACTGTAAATGTACTATTAGTGATTACTGATTATAGTAAACTAAGTTATATAACAAATATAAATCCTAAGAGTACCAGAAGCAACGCCAGGCGAACTGAACGCAGCACTAGAGTCGGCAAAGAGAGCATACAAATCATGGGGCCAAAGCACTGTCATGACTCGTCAGCAAGTTATGTTCAAGTAAGTAATGTTTCTGCGCTAAACGACTACCAGGTAGATAAACCCAGGAGATAAACGGTACCATCATGAATTTAATCTCACATATTTACATCCTTGCTGTGAGTGTAAGCGTCATGCCAATCCGCATGCCAGGCATTGCAGTACCTATTAAATAGTTCCGTGGACCACCACTTGGCTAAAAACGCCCCTGATTGTAATATTCCATTCTTGGATCTCTACTAAAATAGTAATTATTATTAAAATAATTAATGTATGATCATGAAAAATAAAATTGTTCTATTAAAGGAGAAGCTCCATTTTGAAAATTAAAATTAGACCAAGTTGCCATTTGTTTATATGGTGGATACCCGCTTGCCAATTTTGCAATCCACATCCGCTAAGATTTTTTCCAGTCGTCTCGACAATGTTTGTAATAAATTCACTAATTAGGTTGATATTTAATTATTCAGCTTCGCACGTTTGTTGCGAGAGAACGTGAGCAAGCTGGCGGCTAAGATCACAGAAGAACATGGCAAGACTATTGCTGATGCCGAAGGTGACGTACTTAAAAGCATTCGTAAGTATTTAGTAAAATTGTTATTATTGCTTAAACCGCGCCCATTCAATTGCAATTGAAAAATGTCAATAAAGTCCTATAGTATTTTCTACACATTGGTTCAGCATTTTAGCATTTACCGTTGTTTATTGTCTTTCAAAAATCTATTTGTTAATGCGACGCCTGCTAATGCACAGATGCTGTGGAACACTATTGCAGCATCACTAGTCTACAACTTGGCGACAGCATGCAGAACGTGGCCAAGGACATGGACACACACTCCTATAAGACTCCTCTTGGTGTGGTTGCTGGTAAGTAACCTAAGATTGTCAATAACAGTAATAACGTACTAGACAACCACAACAACTAATTTTGGTCTCATACTAAAGAATGTGATCAACACACACAATGCGAAAAGAGTTCAATGAGTTTATATATAATATATCAGATTAGTATCGTGAATATTTCTATAGGCAATGATAGCTACCGGATTATTTTTCTACCGTCTTGTGTAAGGGAATTAACAAGAATTGATGTGTGTGTGTGTGTGTGTGTGTGTGTTGATTTGCTTTTAAGGTCGCAGTGGCAACGTCATTGCGTGGCTGAGAAATCATTCCATTGGCGCTAACACATATTAGTTAGGTTATGGGAAAGAAGGAAAACTATTTAGTAGCAGTAGTGCTCCTTGTGAAAGAGTTCGTCCAGGGAAGTACTGCCACCTTTCTGCCGCCAAGCAGTAATGTCAGCATTACTGTGTTCCGGTTTTGAAAGGTAAGGGTGAAATTACAGCCACATGGGACTTGTCAACTTCTGTCTCAGTGTACGGGCACAGTGGCAGTGCCCCTCAGATCTTTGCGATTTAAAGCTCTGAGTGGCACTGCAACTGTATGGACAGGCGTGTAGCTTACCACCAGGCGCACGACTTCTTCGTCCCGTCACTTGATACTATAAAAAAAAGTTTATCTCATTGTATTGAGGTGATATTTGCAATGCAAACTAATTTCCATACAAAAGTCGTGTTATATTTTGAGACGCCATTTGTTGACATACCATTGAACTATGTACTTAAGTGCTGTTACGAATGAAAACTCTATGAGGATGGCCTGTAGGTATCGTTGTTATGTGAATTAACATGTTATCAGTTATACGTTGAACTATTATTTAAATAATTGGAAAGTAGAAATAACAGGATGAATTCCGTCCAATAAGTTCAACTTTTTCAAAAAGTTGTACCTAGTTGAACTAATTGGAATATTTGTGTCCGATTAGTTCAACTGATTGAACTTATAGTTGAACTTAGTGGAATAGATGAACTTCCTTATAATTTGTCTATATGCCATAAAAAACCTGATAATATTTCCTTTGTAGTTTGAGACGTCATCTATTGACACAATATGGAACGATCTAGTAGAGGGCTGTCATTAAATCGTCGAAAGGAAACTACATGAAGACAACCTGCATACAGTTCTCATTTCTATACTTCATCGTTATGAAAATCCTGACTAAATTTTTGTGCAGGTGTTTCTGCATTCAACTTCCCCGTACTGATTCCTACGTCTATTGTCGCGGCGGCTCTGGTTACTGGCAACACATGCATCATCAAACCCTCAGGGCATAACCCTGGCGCTAGCCTCATGACCATGGAGTTACTGAAGGAAGCCGGCGCCCCTCCTGGTGTTGTCAACGTAATTATTTTAAACTTAAGTACTTTGTACTCTCGGTAGAACATATAATAAGTCTATATCGGATTTGTTAACGCTTCATGTTAAAAACGTAATAAGTGGTATAAAATTTTCATATTATGCAATGGTATTTTATAGCGAGGGCCTATATTCAACAGTGCATTGACAATTTTGATTTAAATGCTTAAATAATATGAAATTCCATGTGTGTTGTAGGTAGTCCACGGCAAGCGTGATGTAGTGAACTTCCTGTGCGACCAGCCTGATATTAAGGCGATATCGTTTATCGGCGGAGACGCGACTGGCAAGTACATTTACGAGAGGGCCTCTGCTGCAGGTAAGCTTTGCCATGCTTTTGACAGGAACTTCAAACAAAACTGAAATAGCTTAAAAAACCAAAAGTTTAATTTGCATTGGTGAGGCATGTACAGTATGTAACAACTTACTGTACCTACAGAGATGCGTGTGGAAAGTAGACGTAGATTGCTACTTTTCGATAAAAAATCATCGAAACGCCTTATAGCCCAAGTATTTATTGCACGTTATTATTGCAGCCTATACGGCAAAAAACAATGAAAATGCCTTAGGCCTCGATTACTATCAGAACCGTTGTCGCCAAAACGCACAGAAACATATGATAAACACTGTGAAATCTTGATAATGATTGCTCGTAATTTACAATTTAAAAAGATGTAACGAATTCTGGAATATATAATTAATATCTTCTCGACAACAGATGTCTTCTTTAAAGCACACTTTGCATAAGGAACGTTTAAAATTAACAAAATACTTATGAAGCATTTTTAAGCTAAGCTAAGCTTTTACGAACCAGCGTGAAAAATTCGAGATCTTTACCTCCTTCACCAAAAGATAAAACTAGACCATATTGCATTGGGATAATGTTTACTTTCGTTTGTTACAGTCTTTGTAGTTTCTATAAGTTTTAATTTTAATTGGTTATGTTGTTTAGGCAAGCGCGTACAATGCAACATGGGTGCGAAGAACCACGGCGTCATAATGCCCGACGCGAACAAGGAGTACACGCTAAATCAACTGACGCGCGCACCTTTCCAAGAAACTGGCCAGCGTTGTATGGCGCTTGGCACCGCCATTTTTGTTGGTTAGTCACTGAAGTTTACAGTAACGCGATTAAACTTATAATAAATAGTTAGAATCATTATTTTTAATTAGAGATAACTAACTGACAATTACTAATGCCATTTTGAAAAATAATGTTGCCATGTTTATTGGACAGTGATATATGTGTTTGGTTCAGTACATAATTAATAGATTATGTTAATTATGTACTGAAGTGAAGAAGAAACGTTAACAATTTTTGATTGTTAATTTACTAATCAATATCTAATTTATACGTATTATTTTAATTTCTTCTTCTAAATAATGCCAACAGATCGAACTATTTTTTCGGACCTAAGTAAACCAACGTTTCGGTCCCTTTACAGGTTCTATGTCGGTCTATCAGTCGTGATCATGGGACCTATAAAGAGCCCGTTTCATTTCCTAATAACTGCAACAAATTATTAAAAGGATATTATCTTGATGATTTATTGAGTCAGCGAAGTTGATGCTTTCAGATGAGACCGTTTTTATTTCATAAAACAACTAGAAATTCAAAAACGTCAGTTTATTAGCTTATATGTAGTTTAAAAAACCGACTATAGACAATTTAACTAAAAACCTTATGTTGCGCAAACTTTTCAGTACGCGTAATATAATAATGTATGTACGAGTATACTTGGTACTTGGTGCAACGGGTTGGTATCCGCAACTCGACGACAAAGCGCCTATTTTGCGTGTTAATGTATGTATAATTCATGTAATAATTATTATTTATTACAAACAAGTCAGTACCCACAGTGTATCCCGTTGCCTTTTTTGATGAACCAGTCGTGCGCCTGATGGTAAGCTACACGCCTGTCCATAACATTTGCAGTGCCACTCAGAGTTTTAAATCGCAAAGATCTGATGGGCACTGCCACTGCGCCCGTCACCCTGAGACATAAGTTGAGAAGTTCGATGTGCCTGTAATTTCACCACTTGTAATTTTGCGTTATATCTCCTAAATGAATTGTCAGTTACTATGGTTACAAGCAAACACTGCATAGACGTGGCACTGTGATATTGGCACGTTACAAATAAGTTGGTGGTACTTTACATAAATGTACCGTGACAACTTGACATCGAGAACTAATAAATCGAGAACTTGGGCCTTTTCCCAGTCTCGGGAATTTTCTCCGCTGCATATCTATAGATGACAACTTGGCTCCACATACGCATTGATCGTCTCAAATGACGTTTTTTAATCACACATATTCCGTTGCATTCATGCCTATTGAATTAGTAATTGGAATGCTGTGGAAATTAGTGCTTTGAGAAGTAAGGCTGGAGTGATTCTGATAAATTACGGAACAGTGTGATAGGAGAGCGTTGCGGCGTGGAAGACGACATACTGACAATGATAGAGAACGGGATGCTTAAATTCGAACTATTTCGAACCCACGGCCTCTATTTGACAGGCGGTAGGTCAAAACGTTAGCCTACCACGGCTGTAATATGTAAGCACTACACAATGTAGATAAAATATTGCGCACTTTTATGTACTTTATTGATAGACGGTATTACTTATCCTTTATGTTTATTCTGAAGGCGAAGCTAAGGAATGGATCCCAGAACTGGTGTCCCGCGTTCAAACGTTGAAGGTGAACGCGGGCCATGTACCTGGCACCGACGTGGGACCTGTCATCGCCGTTGAAGATAAAAACAGAATCCTCCGGCTCGTCGAGACTGGTAACATTTGCATTTGTATTATCATATCGTACAAAAATAACTCCTGATTTCAATTCTGTCATAATCATGTCCAAACAATGGTGCATATCTAGTTAGTAGCAGTAGAGCTTCTTGTGAAAAGTTCGTCCAGGAAAACACTGCCGCCTTATCTATTTCTGTTGTCAAGCAGTAATAGATAAGTTACTTTACATTACTGCATATTTGGAAGTTGTCCACTTATGTCTGAGAGTGACGGACATAGTGGCGGTGTCCCTCAGATTTTGGCGATTTAAAACTTTCAGTGGCTCCGCAACTGCCATGGATAGACGTGTCGCTTATTGCCAAGCGCAGGACATGTTCGTCCCGTCGCTTAATATCATGAAAAAAAGATTTGATCATACGACAACAACTACGATCACGTCGAAAGCTTAAAATGCGGTTGGAAAATTAACTTTGGGTAAAAAGTCAAATCTTCTACAGCGATACCACTGTCAGTTGATGATGAACCCTTCATATGCATAGCTGGAAAAGAAAAGTTACTTTGTACATACGTAAAAAGAAAATGCGCCACGACGGTTAATAAAAATGTAAAAAAAAATTTTGCCGACGTTTGATAACTTTTCGGCCAATGGACGCGTTATCCACGTGTTTAAAAAAAAACTAAATCATCGTTTAAATCTTTTTAAACGATGACTTTTGACTTTTGGTTTTAAAAATTGTAATTGTAGGACATGGACGTTGTAGGTACATACATAGACACGATAGATTGACATCAATCAAAGCACACACGCCAGCAGATCACGCTACACATTGACGTATCTTGTTCCGTTGCACTGGAGGCGATTTTCAAACAAAAATGTGTAGTCTGGTGTGCCGTTGTCCGTACATCAATTTGATCTTAGAGGATGGAAAAATAGTCTAAGGATAATATACACTGACATAGTTTAAAAATTACCTTGTAGATCTAAATACAACAAAACTGAATGTTACTAAATTGGCAGGTGTAAAAGAAGGCGCTAAGATCGCTTTAGACGGACGCAACATCAAAGTATCCGGTTTCGAGAAAGGCCACTTCATCGGACCGACCATCCTCACAGGCGTTCAACCCAGCATGGAAATCTACAAAAAGGAGATCTTTGGGCCTGTCCTCATTTGTTTATTCGTCGATACCCTTGATGATGCCATTAACATGATCAACAGCAACCCTTATGGTAATGGAACCGCAATCTTTACCACAAACGGAGCAACGGCAAGAAAATTTGCGTCAGAGATCGACGTTGGTCAAGTAGGAGTAAATGTACCTATCCCAATTCCACTATTTATGTTCTCGTTCTCTGGTACACGAGGCAGCTTTTTGGGAACCAACCACTTTGGCGGTAAACAAGGTATTGACTTTTTCACTGAATTGAAAACGGTCGTTTCATACTGGAGACAGAGTGATGTATCTCATACAAAAGCTGTTCTCTCCATGCCCACTCAACAGTAGATTATAAGCAGCTATATATAGGGTATTACAAAATTGTTCAAAGAGCATTCCACCAAGACGGATGACCAGACGGACTACCGTCTGCCTGTTTGCATATATAACTTTTCTATAGAAATTTATAAATATGCCCTTTACCTATATGAATGCGTATTATTTATTGCCTTAGGATATAATATTTATAAACAGTAATTGACAATAGCACATTTTTCCAATGCGCCCTTTATAAAATTTGTTTTTTTTTTAAATAAAAAATAAGTGCGCATTTGATTTCCATCTCACCTGATGGGAAGTAATGATGGAGCATGCACACCTAAATAATGCCTATTCACTCTCGCCTTAAAAAGGTCTAAATTCAGGGAGCAGGTCTGCAGGCAGAGAATTTCACTCCACAGCCGTTCGCCATATAAATGAGGAAGCGAAGCGCTTCGCGCGAATCCTTGCAACGCCCACAATATACGGGTGGAACCCCAGCCTACGCCTGGTCCCCCGATGATGGAAAGGGGAAGTCGGAATTAATTGGTACAATTCCCTCGCGCACTCCATGATGTATCCTGTAGAATACCGATAAGCAGGCAACTTTACGGCGATGTTCAAGGCTTTGCAGCATCGCCTCTACTAATTCTGAGTCACCTATAAGCCTCTTGCCACGCTTGTCGATTGAATGCAAGGTGGCCAGTTGGTATGTAGCAGAGCTATCCCATAGGTGGCAGCAATACTCCATACACGACCGGACTTGTGCTGCTGTGCGTTTTGGTAGCGTTAAATTTGACAAGATTGGCATCGCCCCAATCAGAAACGTCTAACCATTTACTCTCGACAAGAGTAGATTTCCTCTCCACTGACCCTTGCATTGGTCTTGGCGAGGTACTTGTACCTGCCTACTACTGTGCTGTCATCAGCATACGGGAAGGTACCTGGAATTAACATATCATTAATATACAGCAGAGAGATTGTTGCAGACAGTACGGAACCCTGAGGAACTCCGGGAACTATCGCCCGATGTCTGAAAGAGTAGCCTTCTAAACCACTCGAATCGAACGTTCCCTCAAAAAATCCGAGATCCAATTGCAAAGGTCAGTGGGAAGCTTATAGGAGGGAAGCTTGCTTAAAAGGCTGGCATGCCAGACCCTGTCAAAGGCTTTAGAAATGTCTAAAAACACTGCAAGTGCCTCGCCTTGAATTTGCCTTGCCTTCGAGACCATGGACGTTGCAATACGTCCGAAAGGTCGAGGTAATTAAAATATGTTTTATATATGATGAAGTCCCGAACTAAAAATCAAATGAGGTGAATGGTTATTTGTTTACAAAGTTATGTTTTCCATTTTATACACTAAGATAATATTCTTGATTCATTAGTGATATGAACACTTGTTTTCTCCGACACCGAATTATTTTGCTAATAAATTGCTATATTTTTCTTATTTATATCTTTTATTGCTTCCTACTAATTGTATCTACGACATAACTTCTCTTGTCCGTATTTCTAACTATGCACACTACCTTAGATATTAAGCAATCGTGAATGTATTATTTTTTATTTTACTTATTGATTAACTCGGTAATATGGTAATAACAAATGGTGATGTCACAAATTCTTGTTTTTAAATTTTATCTGCAAAATTGACTACAGTTACGGAAATTCACAGACAAATCTTTATTTCAATGTTTCATACAATTAGATCAGACGTTTCTCGACAAAAGTTGTCAGCCATTGTGAGTATAAGATACAACGAACACTTTTTTATTACTTTTATTGCGCGTTTGGCACCATACGCTTTGGGTCTAAAAGGGCACAACAATCCCATTCAAATAATACAAAGGTGTTTTACGGACAGTAAAGCATGCATAAAGCTACGGAGATAATATAACAAAAAGCCGGACCAAGTTTTTGGTGGTTATTTTGTCTATTTAAATTATAGGTAAAGAGCATTTTCTTGTTATCCTGCAATTATGTTCTAGGCAATGGCGTCACGGACTCCGAATTGTCATGCCGCAGCGTGGCTGCGGCAATTTCCGGCCAGTCATTTAATAACGCAGCTATTCCTCACGCCGCGCCACCTCAATCTCGGCCTACCACGATCAACATAGAGCATAAAAATATGTTAAAAAGTAATGAAGTTTCTGCGTTTCTATATAACTGTCTTATAGACTGCGCAGGGTTTATGACTGTGGAGTCCACAGTGTGGACACATATCACGCTTAACTTGTGAGTTGATAATATTTAAATGGATTTTTTTTTTATTACAAAACTGGATATAATTCCTACATATTTAGTTACCGCGAATGTAGATACTCCACTACACGTGAACACAAGATAATGATATAAATATAATATTCTAATAGTAGTTAACTGGATTTATCCAGAAATAATATATTATTACTTATATAAGAAAATATTATTGCGTAAAAACTTAGTAACTACACTAACAAGATAAATTAATGTATTACATTCAGATTACATCACTAAACCCCTCTGATACCTGAAACTTTACAAGCGCAGTATTTACAAACATAGACTTCTAAACCCTAGAATTATCCCTCTATGTTCTAAACAAAGTCATAAGAAATCAACAGTTGATAGTGAGTCATAATTGTAAATAATAAAGTTGATATTCGTGCAACCAGTTAGTTCATCACACGATGCTATGTTCCCCTTCTCTTTCCACACAGTTGCGCGCTAGCAGACAAAGAAACATGATGTCAGTGTGTTGTGTGCCGAGCGGAGCGATCTGAGTGACTCCCACATTATATCACATTGTATTGCAAGTATATTGTAGTTATAGAGAATTTTCACTAAATTGTTATGAAAATAAACAATAATTGTTTATGAGCTGCGCAGTGTTGTGGCTTTTAACATCATAAACAATTGCAATCCGATCTTCTCGGTCCGGTTACTCGCGTCGAGGACTTCAAGAAACAAACACGCGAAATGCGTGTCCTTACAAAGTTGGTTTTCGCGCTATTTTTTGCCGTCTGTGCTAGCTTATCGCCGCAATGCAGAAACGAAAGGGGAGAGCCTGTCGATTGGTGAGTTCTTTACATTTATGTTTGTAAAATTTTATTTTTGATGTAAAATATATTGAATTAAATAAGTATTACTCAAAAATATTTTTTAAATAATATTATGTTGCATATTTGTTTATTTAAATAAGTTTTTCATCATAGTTGTTTATGAAAACAGTGAAAAGTATTCGAATCTTTAGCACAAACTACTTACTAAGATCTTTGCTAATCACAGCTATTGTAACCCTGAATTGGGAACCTCCTCAGTTTTTAAAATCGGTTAATAAACGTTTTTCTAATTCAATAAAACATATACCGGTTTTAATTAAATACATTATTGCTACTGAGTCATTGAAATAGGCGCGTTTCTATGAACCATTTGTATATTGATTTTAGGTAACACATATTTGTTAATAATAATTTATGTATAACTTATGTGACTATTATTTAGTACAGTATGTCAATAAATTCATTTGAAACGGTGATTCTTTTTATAGGTCGGAAGTGTAATGTCACTAATGTCTGATTTGTTGATTGTTTTCGACTTCGACAATACTCATTCAACTAGTAAAAAATGCGTGCATGTAGGTATACAAACTTCCTGTCTACTTCCTCTAACTCATTTTGTACACAATACATTGTGGAATTTATTTCACGCCATTACCCTATAATGTCCATTACCTTACCTACTACATTTTGTATTATTGTAAGTAGAAAGATAGTGTTAGAAAAGGATTAAACATTTTTCAGCTTTCTTTTTCTTTTAAAACATCTTAACATTAAGACTTTACTCATAAGCACCTTGAAGATTTGCGTCCACATTAGACGTCTTGTTTGTATGGAGTATAACACTTCATGAACTTCTGAGCGGATATTGAGTATAACGACGAATGCCACAAATAGACAACAAACACGATATGTAAACAAAAATGTATCTCAATTACTCAGTCACATTGTGGATCTAGAAGCCTTGTCGAATGTTTTTTATCGTACGCTTATTAATAATAATAATAACAAAATTATACAATCTTATATTTCAGGTTCTACGTATACAAGTTGCCTCGTGAGAAGAATCATCTGAATCCTCTAGTGCGTCGAGGTGTAGCATATATGCATCTCACGCCATCCAAACTCAGAGGAGGATGGATCATGTCAGAAATGTCCATTAGCGATCCTAAGTCCATGGTTGGAAGAACTTTGGGTCCTCTTTATCATGTAAGTCGGAATTCCGATAAAGATACCTGACCCTTTAATGCCCCTACGGATTTTTTCGCCTTCTTACGCATTTATGATTGAAATATATATTCTATATTTAAGTAAGTATACGTTAAATGTCAAATTGACTTAAAAAGATTCTTAAAACATGATTCGGTAATGATGCAATAGGGAAGTCATACCATAATGGTCGGTTAAGGGGTTTAAGTATAATAATGCATCGACTGTACGCACGCACAAAACTGATATTAAATTTCACATTAGGATACTAGAAATTAAAATTTATAAACCCCAGTTCGTAAGCTATCATAATAACTTGTCGAAAACTTGAAGATTTTTTGAAAATTTTATGAGCACAAGCACGATCCTTGTAGCTGAAATGGAACCATTTTTTCCGGATCTAAATGGCGTATATTTATCTTTTCAAATAAAGCAATTTTTCGGGCCCTTTACAAGTCCATGGTCACGGGTGACCATGATAATTTTGTTTTTATTATTTTCAAAGTAAATTGATTCCTTTTTGTTGTTATTTTCAGGACAAGAATGTCCTGTCGCTGGTCTATAACGACCAACCTCCGGCAACAGAGAACCAGCCCGATCTCTTGCAATCAGTAGCCGAAATGTACTCTAAAAGTAAACGAGGTAAGTTTAGTTAATGCTTGTAATGCATGTTATTTGAGAGCGCGATAGAATAGAAAATAATATTAAATTCGTATCGTATTCAAGGTCAACACTGAAGTTAATACCATCATGTTTCCTATACTCGTCTAAAGTAGTAAAAATAGTTAAAGTATCTGGGTCTCTGGGACAATGAGGACAGGGTTGGCTGTCTGTTGCGATATGCTGGCTTCCAACTGGCATGCAATACAACAACGCGACCAGGATGTTGTTACGACTTCCGCTTTTTTGCAATTCGTCCATCTGCTCTTGTTCACTGATAAACGTGTTGACTATTTCTATCCTATTATTCAAAAGTGAGACGTGATCTCAAGCACCAAAACGGCAGCCTGAGCACATTGACAACTACGATACATGTCCTAAATGCTTCGGACGGTGAACAAGTTCGCACCTACTAAGTATATACGTTTATATAACATTAGATTATAAACGTTTTTACTAACAAATATCCGTATTTATGGATACGAACTTCTGAAATAAATGGTTCTTATTTTTATATCGATGTAATAATTTATAAACGCATACTTTACTCTTAAGATGAATTTTAAAACAAAACGACAGTATCGGTTACACTTATACACGATTAACTCGGGTATTATTTATATCTCATTGTTAGCTTTATGCTCTTTCGTTAATTCAAATGAGCTGGTTGAGAGTATTAATGAAATACAACTAATTCTAAAAAGAGATCAATGAATAAACGACGGTAGATTATACAATTAGGACAAAGTGTGAATATAGCTAGTTCGAAATACGTTAAGTTATAAGTAATAGGAACCGGTCTCAGAGATGACACCGCGTTGACTCACTATTTCTCGATAAAACATGTCAATATCTTTTTAAAAGTCATACTTGTAGCATAAATGAGTCATAATACGAAGACATGACTATACATATATGGATCAATCTCAACGAATGACTCCCATTACAAGTCTCTGTATATTTACTTCATTATTTTTAAAGACTTCATTAATAATACACTCACTATTGTGGCACAACTTGTAGTTTGCGCTATAAGAGATAGCAACATTAAATAAGTTGTTTTAGGATAAGACACAATAGCTAATATATTTTTAATTTCAATGTTATATATGTAAATGCTTGACGATTATTCCAGGGCAAATAAAACAAGCTGGTGTAAAAAAGTTCAAGAAATTCAAACTTGGTGACAAATATTACGACGACTACGATTTAGCAGAGATGTGCAAAATGCACTCCAAGTTTATGAAAACGAGAGTTGAGAGCGGACATACGAAAGGAGTCATTCTGGGGGACAAATTCACATCGCTATGGCTTGTGCATTCCGTACCTAGATTCCCACCCGTGCCTGACGGTAAGTTGTTGAAAAGTTTATGTCACGTAATGTGGTGTACAAAATTATTATTTAATATGATATTGCATAAATGGTTTTCCAATGCATCAGAGGTGTAGTGTCAAAATATCATAATACTAATAAGATAGACAACATAAAACAGACTCAATAAGTTTAATGTAGAAACCCTTGCCCGCTGTCGAGTTACCAGTGACTTACTGTATACATTGCACAAAATAGTTAATGGTGGATTTGGTGACATATTACTGGATAAGATAAGGGTGCCTCGTTCAGTTCGCCGACCTCAATTATTCGGTCAGTCCAACTTACAAGTTAAGTAAGTTGGATTAACTTAACAAAATTCGGTTAGTCCAATTTACCGAATGTGTAGAACATATCGTTGCCTTGGATGAACAAGGTATCAATTAAAAAATTTGGGCTTTTTACTTTAAAATGCAGTCCTATTAAAGAAGTCGAGACCTTTCTAATGAACAAGGTCTTATAACGATCGGACGTGAAATGGTGCGGGAGGCAGGTTAGTATCTCTGAACATTTTGCACGTTTTGGCCCCTGAGCAACACAATCGCATTCAGACATATTCAGTATTTCACACGGAGCTGTAGTCGACAAGACATCGTCGTTCGTTGAAGAGGGTATTCAAACTAAAACATAACACGTGTTCATTATAAGGTAAGTGTATTTTAAAAATATCTATTTATTTTTAGAATTTTTAAAATATACTTTAAAAACGTGTAAAACTGCTCACCTGAAAAATCTGTGTTTTTGAGATAATACCCTGGTCATCTGGATCAACAATGTAATGATATTTGCTCTAACCATGATATATTCCGTGATAGCCTTTCCGCATTCAAAAAGTCTAAAAATTATCTATTTTAATATTCTTCTATATTGCTATTTTTTTTTTGTTCGCACTCTCTATTAGTTTTCTGAATCCTGTGTACAGTTATAATTGGAATGCAGATTTACTGATTTAAAAAAAAAATAATATTGTTTGAAAATAATGCTGTAATCTGTTTTCTGTAATTTATGGTACAATAAAAATAAATAAAATAATAATAATTCAGCAAAGTAAACATGTTCTTGTTTTCTTCAATAAGCATTATTTTATATTACAAACAATGTGCGCGTTGAGCCAAATGTTTGTTTGTTGTAAACAAATAATGTTTATTTGTGATTGTCCAAAGCACAACTTCTATTAACTTTCAAGATCCATTCAGTAACATGTTGTCTCTAGCTTTGTTTTGATGAAGTGAATGTTATATGATATCTAAAGATAATAATAATAATAGCCCCGTACTAGGGTAACACTGTATCGCTGGTGCCATGGACACACATAGACAACCACAAAGCAAATCTAAACTCACAAGAGAAGTAAATATAGGCCGTACAAATATTTTCTCCCGGCCCGGGAATCGAATTCCGGACCTCTGAGTGGCAGACCGGCAGTTCTGCCACAGAGGCAGTTAAAATACTTCAGATCTTTTCTACAACTCGCTTTTAGTATCATGACCACATCGGTGAGATGACCACATCGGTGAGATGACTCATTGGCGCAACTATGTCATGTTCTTTTGTTACATATTAAGGTATTAGTTTACGAATTTCATTACATGACATGGGCTTACGATCTAGATGGCCTGACGAACTCTCTTGATTCATAATTGAGACCAAAAACTTTGGTGGAGTTGAATAATTTATGCCGATTACCAGTGTGAAGATTCTCAATGGCACTTCTAGGGGCAAATTTTTGAATCTGCTTGAAAATAATAGTGTAGTTATCACTTTACAACGGCTAGATGGATTTTACGTAAAACCTGACGGTGGCGTTATATTCGACATGTTTTTCTGTTGAAAACTGTAAAGTATTTTCTGTTTTTTTTTTTAAGGACACACCTGTTAATTTCGCCTTTACTTCGTCGTTGCTAGTTTGAAAAAAAAGGATGACACTTCCTAATTTAATTTCAATTTTAGAATAGACCCCTTTTTCGTTCCTTTTAAAGGCAATTTAAGCAGTGTATTTACACCAAGTTAGACGAAAGAACACTCAGATGCCAATTTTTAATCATTTAATTATGTGTTACTCACTTTAACAGATAGATTTATTTATTCAAATCCCCCTCCTCCGTTCCATGTCTCTAAACCATGATTTTAAATAGTTCTGTTCCTGGCAGGTTCTTGCATTTAAAAAATAAATAAATGCGGTGTTATACAATAGTACAATTGAGATTCTTGAACTGCATAAAGTATTTTTATGAATGAAGGAATTTCTCTCTATATTACAAAACGTACGTTATGATATGGGTTTTCGACGGTTTCTCTACCGTGATAAATTTTATAATAACAGACAAATGAATGTAAAAACGCAAGAAATTTCAAAACACTATCTATTGTGTCTCTTGAAAATGTATCAGATATAGATTTCTAAGAAGCCCTACAGTGCTACAGTACTTTGTCAACGACATAGGCCTGAAAATACTACGTTCCTGCTGCTGAAAGCTGATATCTTCGCTCTGTACCTCTTTTTTAATTTCTTCATCTGCCATCTTGTAATGAAGGTCGGCGATCATGATGGCAATCTGAACTTTGGACAGTGCAGCTCTGAAAAAAGATCGGGTGCTCGCAATGAACCACTGGCGCAAATTTCTGAGCCAGGATATTCTCCTTCTTCCTACACCTCTCTTTCCTTGTACTATCCTTCTTTTTTCACGGTATTCATTATGTTACCAGTGCACGGCCTCAACATAAGCTCCTACGGCTATCCGCAAACGGGCATGAAATACGGCCAATCCATGCTTTGCGTATCCGTACAAACCACCACTCTGAACCAGATAGCCACACAGCTGAAGTACAATGAACCTCTCATTGTTTACCAACACTTGCCTTTAGAGCTGGAAGGTGAATTACCTAATTTAGTAGAAGTTTTGAGAAACAAGACTATTGAAGCATCTCCATGGTAAGTTGTACTAATTCTTCTGTATATGGCGCATTTTATTTATTTATTATATGGACAACAAAAAATATAACAATGAAATTACATTGATACAAATTAAACATGATATAACAAAGTTCTGTACGAGATTATAAACCTACTTATGTTGACACATCATTGAAAAGTAACAAGAAAGAACTACTGTTAAATTTGCTGATAATTGACTTATTTACTTAATACTAAAGCGTCAAGGGAATGGGGGAATGGGTGAAAATCTATACAAGTGCAAGTTGCTTTACTACTCGTTTAAATACTCTGGATCTTGGATCAAAAATTTCCAAATCGATGTTTTTCATAGATATCTCGTTGTAAAGCCGACACATTCTTACAAGGGGGTTGTAAAAGAAAGTATTATTCCTGTATGTCCGCAAGTAAAACGTCTTGTTGGGTCTTCTGGGGTTGCGCCTTGTAGAGAGAGCTATTTTATTTAAGAGGTGAGGAGAATCAATTTTACCATGAAGAACCTTGTTCAAGTATGCGAGGTCCTGTTTCTTACGGCGATCACATAAGGAGGTCACCTTAAATTCGTCAAGTCTCTCACTATGGCCATAACCACATTTGTAACTAAGTATCCTAAGTGCTTTTCTCTGAACGCTTTCTACACTATCCGAGCGGACTGAGTAGTACGGAGACCAGATGTCACAAGCATACTCTAAAATACTACGGACAAGGCTGTAATAGACGGTCAGAAAACTATGAGCCTGATTGAAACCCTTGGTGTATCTTGTTATGAAGCCCAGCAATTGAAGTGCTTTGTTCTTAATGTATACATAATGTTCACGAAACGTTAATTTACAGTGGTATATAATTAACATAAGTAGGATTTCACATTTTTTATTGGTATAGCCTTAAATTATTTTTCTAAGTATTCCGTACTAAATGGTCACAGCACAATTGGCCATATTCCGCCATATCAAAACTTTGTATTGTCGTTAATAATATTTTGTAATTGTTTTTTGTTTTAACTCAATTTTATTCATCAAAGTACGCACATTGTGGTTGCGCAAAGTTGAATATAATTACATGTTGTCGACTTGTACGATTTCTGAAAATGAATGTATTATTAAATAAATGTTTCTGTTTTAAAGTAAGAGTGAGTAATGAAAACATAATCGTGTTTCAAACAATCAATAAAAAAAATTAATTCACCTAATACTTTTTTCAGGTATCACATAGAAAGTTTCGAGACGCTAGTGGGCAGGAAGTTCCTCTCGTTCGCCAAGAGTGCCATGTTCAACGACGACCTGTACAGCGGCTTGGTGGCCGAAGTGTTGCAATCAGATCTGCTGGTCGAATCGTGGACTAACGGACCGGGAACTTTGGACTCGGAATGTGGGAGAAACTTTCAGTAAGTAGATTTAATGCTATATATTTTAAGGGATAAGCTAATGACAACGACAATTGTATCGAACTCGCGATGATGGTACAAATTCTGTACATCGCATGGACTATATTTCGAGAGGGTTGCTAATCATCATACTACAGATCGTAACTCTGAAAATGGCCATAATTCCGTCTTTGAGGCTGATTAAATGAAAAATGAAATGAAATTATTTATAAGTAACAGTGTTATCGTTACAAGTCAGTTACCTGTATCATTAAATGTTTATCAAGAAATGATTATAAAATGAACAGTACATAGCATGCATTTATATTACATTATAACATCACATTTACATTATATTACATGTCATAAAAAATAAAATAAAATACAGTAACAAATTTAATAATCAAAGATAAATTATGATACGATAAAAAATGCATTGAGACATTCGATTTTAAGAAATAAGGAATTCTTTAAACTCATAGAATTGTTTTTCTAGTAGCCACTTGTTTAACTTAATATTGAAGATAACCGGTGATGCTGCATCTTTGATATTATTCGGTATCTCATTGTATTCTAGTGCCCTTATTACGTAGACAGACTGTTCCGACTTGGTTAATTTGGACGAAATCGCCTGAAAGTATTATGTAAATGACTGTGGATATCAATAAATTCCTCGTTAATATAAAACATAAGAAGTCTAAGTAGTTTTATTCGTTGTAATCTTATTCAAATATTGAGCAATGGTTGGAAAAAGGTGTTCCACATATTTAGATACATATATAGACGTAGCTACAAGAATCGATATAGATTTGTTAAAACCACCTGATGTTAATTAATTACTTTTTCGAATTCCGGATTCCGGAAATGGTTTTACTGCATCGAAATCCGGAATTCGAAAAAGAAATTAATTAATATTTGGTGGTTTAAACAACTCTATGTCGCTCCTTGTAGTTATATCTATCTATGGCTGTATCTATACATGTATTTATGTATGTGGAACACCTTTTTCTGACCATTGGTTTTCACTAGAAATTAGAGCTGCTTTGATAAATTGCTGCTTGTCAATGTTAAACAAATCAGTTATAAAATAGCAATTTGGTACTCGTCGCGATGTAATTATGTTGTACTAAATACCTAACTATGCTGTCTTGTATCGCGATTAGCAGTGTTCTTGAGTTATTGATCCATGCAAAGACGCAGTTAAATAAAATGTGCGTTTAACCAAAGTCGTGTTTGTAACTATATCTAATCTCACTTTACGACTAAACTGAATTTTATGGTAGTTTTGTATAATGAATATTTTTGTAATTTAAAAACCACAAACATATAATTTAAGCGTCAAATAGAGCGGGCGCGAGTCGGGTAGGGACCGCGGCGCCGGCGGGACTAATTCCGTGTATTTATATGGAGAACAAAACACCGAGCGCGGGCGCGTGCGCCTGTCTTGCGCCCGCTGTTTGTTTTTTTTATGACATCAAGTGACGGGACGAACAAGTCGTGCGCCTGATGGTAAGCTACATACTGTCCATAACAGTGACAGTGTCACTCAGAGCTTTAAATTGCAAAGATCTGAGGAACTGCGCCCGTCACCTTGAGAATAAGTTGACAAGTCTGTAAGCCATGTGCCTGTAATTTCACCAGCACCCTTACCCTTCAAAACCGGAACACAGTAATGCTAATATTACTGCTTGGCGTCAGAAATAGGTAAGGTGGCAGTAATACCCTGAACTCTTTCACAAGGAGCTCTACTGCTGCTACTGTGTTTCACGCTTTACACTTTACAAGGATTGACCATACCATCAAGTATTCAATTTGTTTATTGATAAATACAGGGTTCGAAACATAGAGCGGCTGAAGTTCCCAATCGCAAAGATGTCGTTCACGTCTCACAACGATCACTCGAAGTGGGCTGTAGCAGTGGCGCACAAAATGCATAACAGCCAAGACACCAAAGTGGCCGACTACTGGGTCTGCGTCGGCGATATTAACAGAGCGGTTAGTACATTTTTTCTTGTGGTTTTCAACTATACATAGTATCGTGTCTGTACACCTTTGGAGCTACAGTTTCAACCTGAATCTTTCTTATGGTGCGTCACCACGGCTGTGATGTCAAACGCGCCGATTCGAGTTCGCGAAACGGGCGAGTTCGGGTGGCATCAGTCCAACACGCTTGGCGGCGCGAATTTGGATTTGTGTCGAGAGCATAGGCCGCGCCTTTGAAGTTATCGGCCAGTAGCGGATTCGAACAGACTAAATCGGGTGAGCACGGGTGCGCTCGGGCTCGGTGCCTCTTTTAGAAACGCGCGTCGTGGGCCGCGAAACGGGCCTCGGCCATTGGGAAGCCGCCTTTTTGATCGCCAATCCGTATTATACTGTCATGGTAGTAAAAATATCGTGATATTGAATAAAACAAATATTGCAATTAATATAGCCACATCTCTTAACTGCCTCCGTGGTCGAACGGTTACCATACCGGACTGCCACGCTGATGATATCCCAGGTTCGATTTTTGGGCCGGGAGAAATTTTTTGTATCGTCTACATTTATTTTTCTTGTGAGTTTGGGTGTAATTTGTGGTTGTCTATGTGTGTGTCCATGGCACCTGCGACACAGGGTTTCCCTAGTGCACGGCTATGTTGAGTGTGTGCGTATTATTGTTATTATTATTATCTCTAGTAGCTGTGAAGGTACTTTTTTTTTGACGGGGGGGAAATCTTTATGGATACCCCTGAGCCCAGGGAGACTCAGGGGTTATCTGGGGACTCTCCGTCCAGACTGGAGGGCCTACCCCACTAAAACCCCCCCGGGTTTCCCTCTCGCAGGTTGAGTCGGCGCCGTGGGATCAGTGAACATTCACCACGACGCCGCCCGGCCGGCCTAGCTTACGCCAGGGCTCCCGCGCCAACGGAGGGGCGAGTCGGTTGTCCTCCGACCCGCCCCCCAGACGAGTGAGGCCGTGTAATGCAGGCTCCGGAGTCCCTGTCCAGAGCCCGCTGGTCTCACTAGGGGATCAGGCGAGCAGCGAACTGCCTTCGCCTTCTCCCTGAGCGCGTCTGCGCCGTCTGCGCCGGAGCGGGTGTGCGTCCGCCGCATCCGCGCGCACCTGCTCCGCGGCCTCCTTTTGCGACATAACCTCTGCGCAAAAGGAGGCCACCGCCTCCCAGGAATCCTCGCTATCGAGCATGGCGGCAAACACGCTCGGCAGCGAGAGGTCCTGCCCTACAGTCCCCGTCAGAGTGCGGCGCTGCTCATCCCACCGGCTACACACCTCTAGGGTGTGCTGCGCGGTGTCATCCGCACAAGGTGGTACAGCTGTGAAGGTACCTGGCTGACTGAAGAAACTTTAATCAATTTCTCACAGTTGGCGCTACGGCAAAAAAGTCGTTTGAATCTAAAACAAAGATCTACAAAAGCACATAGCGAAATTCGCAAGATCTGCTGACTTAGCCTGTAGCACAGTTAATAATAGCGGTACCCAACCAGAGGAGTTCATTCTAATCGATAGATTTTTTCTTTGTGTTTGATAAATATTTGTGTTAAAGTTTCGTTTGAAATAAATAACATTTCATACTAATCATAACAAGATGCACTATACAATACCAGCTTTGCTGGAAACATAACTGATTCTGTAGTCTTAATTAAATCGATGGATATTTTAATCTGTTCTGATCTACGCAAAAAATGTTTGATGTATAAATTAACTTTGATAGTTTTATATCGGGCTTCAAAACTAAGACAAACAAAAAATAAAATTTTGATACTTATTTTTAAAACTAAGCAAATGTTGATTATATTTCTATCATCATTTTATTTTAGAGCCAGACTCTTGTCGGTGTAGCCTTCTCCACTCCTCACGGTTCATAGCCAGTTCTTTCACCTCTTTATAGCTGTTCACTTTGATCTTTTTATTTGCCCACTATATGCCGCTCTTGGTCTTCCTCTTTTTCTTTTCCCTACTATCCTCCCCTCAATTATCACAATTAACAAATTCGTCATTACGCAACACATATCCAAACATTTTCCCCCTTCTCTCTATTGCATTCAAAAGACTTCCTCCCCAACCCTTTCCAAAACTTCCTCATTTGATGTCTTTTCAATCCATTTCAGTTTTCCATTCGCCTCCAGCACCACATTTCAAATGACTCCAATCTCTCTCTGTCTTTGTTTGTTATTGTCCATGTCTCGCATCCATACAGTGCGGTACTCCTGACATATCGCACTGCTATTACAATAGTGTTGTAACTCATAATATGTGACATTTAATATTATATCATTACTGAACGTAAAATTTGATTCTCTACACGTCAAAAAAACCGTCGTTAAAATATTGTAAGAAACAATCAAAATATATCTACTTAACTCAAATTGAGACACACTTTATGTGCACTATTTTTGGCCAAAATAATCCTTATTCAGAAACATGAAATTATGTTTTCCATTTATTGTTAAATATATTTGAGAAATTGTTTAAGTGTCTATAATAAACTATAACATATATGTACATTTTAATTATTTTTTTGCGGGAAGTGAGTAACTCGGTTTTCATCGAAATGAGAAAGTCCTCTTTTGAGTTAATACACTATTGTATTAATAGTGCGATGTGTTTTGATTAATATTTTTTTCAATTGTATAGGTATTTTAGAGGTGAAAATATGTTTTTTATTATGGAAAGCCTGTTTTGCTATTACGATTCTAGTCTTTATGTTAGTGATACATTTGGAATCTTGTGTGATAACTCTACCAAGATATTTGAAATTTGTTACCTGCTCTACAGGAATGTCATTTATTATGATAGGTGTAATTTTGGAGAGATGTTTTGCAGTTACTAATACTTTGGTCTTATTTTTGTTAATCGTCAAATTAAATTCTTTAAAAATCTGATTCACCCCATTGAGTGGAGCTTCTAATTGGTGTCTGCTTTCTGTAACTACAGCTATGTCATCGGCAAACCTTTCAAATGACACTCTGTGACCATTCACTCTTATACCTTCTGTAGATGTTTCTGTAGTGTTTTGTATTGCGCTTTCGATAAAAATGTTGAAGATGAGAGGTGAAAGTGAACAGCCTTGTCGCACTCTTTGTCTTATTTTTGCTTTCCTACTTTCGTTTTCTATCTCTGTGATGGTCTTTTGATTTTTGTATAGTTCAAATACAATTCTTCTATCTCTATAGTCAATCCCGACCTTTTTAAATACTTCCATCATCAACCTCCAGTTCACCTATCAAATGCTTTCTCTAAATCTATAAAAGCTATATAAGTCTCTAAACTCAAGTCCAGTCTTCTGTCCACTATTTGTCTTTGAGACAAAGATTACCAGAGAAGCAATCTTTGTCCCGCCTAAAACTAATACTACGTGAGGCGCGCTTTAAGTTTCCGGAATGAATAAGAAAAAAATATTGTAAATGGTCAGACATGAATTTATTGTTTCTCAAAATATTCTCCGTTAGCGTTAATGCACTTTTTCATAGGAACGAGGAGTTTTGAAAACATTTATGCCACTCCTCCGTGATAATCTCTGAAACATATTTTCCTTACCAAACTCTTGAGGTGATGAAAATCGTTGACCGCGTAACTGGTTCTTAATTTTTGGAAATAAATAAAAGTCACAAGGTCGGGACTGTACGCGAGATGGCTCATAAAGTCAACGTTGATCATCTTCAAACATTCATTTGTCTGTCTGGCCGTGTAAGAACTGGCATTATCGTGGTGCAAGATGATACGGCGTTTACGTTATTTTGACGGAGTTTGTCAATAACTTCCGGCAAACAAATGATCGTGTACCAATTACTATTCACGGTACGACGATTCTCCAAAGCAACAGTAGCCACGTGTCCAGTTTTATTAAAAAAAGAAGCAATCATCCGCAAGGGCCTCCCTTTGCACGCGCGCCACTTTGGTTGGTTTCGGCTCATCTCGATAGACCCATACGCTCGATTGCTGCTTTGTTTTGGGATCGTAACTATAAATCCATCTTTCGTCACCTGTTACTATACCCCACACCAAATTTGACACCCCTTCGTTAAATCTGGTAAGCATGGCATTGCACCAAGTGACGCGATCCGTTTTTTGAGCCTCTGTCAAATTGTGTGGGATCCACCGAGAGCACAGCTTTTTCACAGTCAAATGTTCATGTAGTATTGATTGTATTTGACTTATGCCTATGCCTAAAGACGAGATGGTATGTCACATGCCTGTCTGTTTTGATCACACGGCGCACAGCGTCGATGTTTATGTTGTTCACAGCAGTGGACGGGCGACCATCACGAAATTCATCACTGAGATTCACACGACTGCCTTTGAATTCTGCAAACTAGCTATAAATACTCGTCTTGCATAGTGCTTCATCGCCAAAAGCAGTTTGAAACCGAGCGAAGCTCCGCTGAGCTGTTAAATTACACTTAAAGACGTAGAAAATCATACTACGAAAATTTTCACGAGTTAAATCCATGGTGATATAGACAACCAATTTCTAAAATGACGCCACAATGTAAAAACGTGACAGTCAGATGAAACAAACTGTATTCTACAGCCAAAGAAAAAGAAAAGAAAAAGAAAAGAATTTTCCAATGTATTACAATTATTTTTTAAATATTGTTTATGTAAGTGGCCAGTTCCGGAAACTTATAGTGCGCTCTATGTAATATATACTAATACAATATTCATTGTAATATTATTTGACCTGAAAATATGTTCGGAAACGCAAGCAAATTGGTTTCTTACTGCTTTTTCATATACTAACCTACTGAATGGAGGGCGCAACCAAGCACCCAAGATTTAGGAGATCAATATCAAAAGATAAACTGGTTATAAATGTCATCAATCGTTAAAAGAAAAGACCAATGATAAAAAAAGAGGATCTAATAATTTTTTTGAATACGACATATTAATTTAGTATGCTTAAACATAATAATAGTCTTACCTTGAATGCAGTTCATTTATAATTTATCCGTAGATCACCTAATATAGATGAAACAATTAATATATATATATATATGTATATAAAAGTACTCATTTGCAATATATCAATTATTTCTTTGATGAGCAACTAATATTATCTCCTATTTTTTAGCCTCGCGATTAAAAATTATTCCTAAACGACGTGTTTATTTGCAGTTACCACAAGAGTCACGGGGCGGCGGCACCGTGTGCACTTCTGGTCCCATTCTATGGGGTAACTTCGCGCACCTCATCGACTCTGTTCAGACGTGTTGAGGTGTGATCATATACAATTTTACAAGACTTGTGTTTCGAAATAGTGCCAAGTTTACTTCAATGACATTGGTATTTATATTATTATACATACTACACTGGTTCAGCGATCCGAAGAAGACCTTGTATGATTGCATTCATTGTACGAAACAACACGTGTAAGATTCTAAACACATGGTTAAATGATTAGTCGTCCTTAAATATCGTCGGCTAAATTTGAAGATCTTGTTTTCGTAGATATCCTTTTTTTACTCTTCAAGTGCAATTAAAGCTTAAAATATAATTTGTAGGTCTTCGTTATTTCTATGTTATATAAATAACATAGGTTTCCAAACTTTTTAGCTCACTTATCATAGGCAAGATAAAAAATTTCAGCGCCCACCACCACAAAAAATAATTGAAAACAAGTATTTTTTATATTAACTAAACACAAAAAATCACAAGAAAAAAAATTTGTAGTGCAGTATAAATTGATAAATCAGGTTTTTTTTTCAAATACGGTAGCACTCCTAGGACTCTGAGCGCCCAATGGGGGGGGGGTAGGGACCATTTTGGGTAACTATGTTCAAAAAGTTATAAAATAAGGGTATTGATTGAAGATTGTCATGTAATTATTTCTAGAAATTCTGTTTTTTGTGTCTACTCAAAAGTTCACAATAATGGAGGTTACGAGGTTTATGAATTTAGCCGTCGACATAAATGAGGTATAAATAACTATACCGTAATCAGTTATAGTTCATAGAATCTCGTTACCTGTTAAGAATGGAGCGGTCGAAACGTAAATATTACCTAATGCAACAGTTATTACCAAATGATTACACAATTTTTGCTAGTCACCTAAAGGCCAGCGCAGACAACGACGGTTTTATCATAGTATAATAAGTAAAGTTCATTTCACGAAAGAAGTCCCGCAGACGCAGCGCTGTATTCGCGCGACATAATGTTGCCACGGTTAAATATGGGGAAATCAGGGGAAATAATTTATAGTTCATTTACTTTCATTTTATTAACTGAGTACTCGAATAGTTAAAAAAAAATGTTTTTAATAGAATGTATTTTTAAAATAAGTACCTATTTGATATCCATACTGCTAAGGTCAGATTAGTGAAAAATAAATCTTCCTGTAATTTCTAAAATATAAAATGGAGATATTCGACCAACTTTAAATTAGAAAATAAAATAACATTTAAAACTTTTATTCAAATTTTTATTGAATAATTATGATCATGATCACTGTCAGAAGAGTGAATAGAAACAGAATCAGATTCTGTTTCACTATCACTAGCCGTGGATATAATAAATCGATCCATTTCTTCATCCATAAGACCATCATTTTTTAAATATTCTTCCTCCAAATGCTGTACATGTTTACATTGAACTGCCCAATCTTCCGCTGTAACTGTCTCAAAAGCCTCTTCTGTTAGGCGTACAATTTCTTTTGGATCTTGGCCCACGTTTTTATCCGCTACCCGTCTCTTTACAAGGCTCCACATTTTTTCGATCGGATTGAGATCGCAGTGGTAAGGCGGCAATCTTAGCAATTCATGATTGTGAGATTTTAATAATGCATCCACGGCATATGTAGGTGGACCCTTGTTTTGTTTAATTAATTCAAATAATACAGCTTTTGTCCAAGTATCTTCAAAATATACTCCCTTTTCTCGCAGCCATTCCTGCATGTCACGTTTAATACTTGACATTGTAGGTGCTTTATTTATTTGAGTGCAGTGATACGGAGCGTTGTCCATTACCACAAGTGACCTTTCAGGTAGGTTAGGAATGACTTTTTCACTCATCCATTTCAAAAAATTAGTCGAGTTCATGTCATCATGGTAATCTGAGGATTTGGATTGGGATTTGAACATTAACAATGCACCATTAACAAAACCATTTTCAGTTCCCGCATGAGCAATTATCCAACGACTCCCCGATGACTCTGACACGAACATCCCAGGCTCCTCCTCACTTTGCCAGCTACTTTTGGCATGATAAGTGTTGTGTATATAGGTCTCGTCTAAATATACTACAGGTTTTTTCTCCACATTGCGATTTCTTCGTATTCTCTCCAAATATCTTGAACGCCATGCAGTAATATCATAACGTTCCATTAGTAATTTACGTTTCGATTGGCATCGCTTATGCTTGAAACCCATGCTATGCAATATACGGTGCAATGTTGTGATGCTTCCTTGATAATTTATGTCTTCTCTCAAAGCTGCACGTAATTTAGGCAATGTAGGTAATTCCTTCTTCACAACATAAAAACTGTGAATTTTTTGACGAATAGCGCACAAATCAAATCCATCCAAGTCGATCTTTTTGGGATGCGGGCGGCTCTTCCCTGGGGTGACGATAATTTTAGAAGTACTCGCCGCTGTTGCGCCTTCTTTTGTAACTCTCGTTACAGTTTTCTCTGACACACCTGCAATAAAATGAACAATTAAAAAAAAAATTCAAACAATGATTATTTTCGTGTTTAATTACATTATTGTTGAATATAACTTTACAAATTTTTGTTGTGTTGTGTTAATTCCTTTTCAAATTTTCCTTAATAAAAATCGTGCATTAAAAAAAACTTAATTCCAATCCGTAAATCAATCGGGAAAAAATCTGTATATGGCAGCCCCAAAATTTACCTGTCATGGCGGCGACTCTTTTGCGAACATTGTTTATTGGTATTAAAACACCGTGATTCTTATGTTCCGCTTCACAGAACTCCTTCACCTTTAATATCATTTCTCGACCTGCACTTTTTACAACTTTTGGCATCGTAAATAAACCTCATAACGCACTAATCCAATAATAAACTCACTAAATGTCTACCACAACAAACACACCTTGATAACATCGACAAACGACAACATGGCCGATCTCCCCATCTGTCAAATTTAGTTCCACAATTGTCCGCGGGACTTCTTTCGTGAAATGGACTTTAGAGTAATTCCACAGACACATGTAGCAGCCGACTTGTATGTGTGCACCCCCCCCCCCCCCCCCCTCCCCGCGCGCGTACGGACGCAAACTTTCGCTTAATCTCGCGGTACTCTCGCGTTGCATAGCGCGGGTCGTCACGCGCCATTGATTATAGAATTCAAGCATTTGCTCGGTGTTTAAAACATGACATCAAATAGTAGACGTGTTTATTGTTGTCTTTGTGATAATATGAACAAGAATAACTCAAATTCAAAATCGGTCAGCATTTCATTTTTATTTCGTAATCACACTCCCATAATCGAGATACTAATTCGCGGTGCTGGTATAAAAATATGAATACGCAAGTACTGCATTTTACAAAGGTTATATCAATAAAGCACGAGAATACTGATAAACACCTTGGTTTTTTTTACAATCTGAAGGCACAACTATACTGACCATTGTACTGGCATCCCTACGCTTAGATTGAACTGTATGCATGTGCATTGAAGCGCTGAACTGGCGGGAGTCTGCCTACTACAGCTTTATGGACAAGAATACGTGGCTAAAAATGTCTACAATCGATGTGCTCATCACATTTGTCTGTTATCCTTTAGGGAGTAGCACTTTGTGACTGTGAACGCTGTATGCATTAGCGCTTTAAAACATTAGTTTTATTATTGCGTAATTTATTACTACGGTCGGCAGTCTGGTCCGTCGGTGTTGTACTGGGGTTTTTGTGTACGCGCATTTTTTTTTCTATCATGTGCATTAGGCTATAAAGTTATAATGAAGGCTATAAAGAATATAGTGTAATGCGCACCGAACGTGCCACAAATTTCAGTCAAAAACGCATTGACAGAGTTAAAAATTTTATATTTCATTTATATTTTTATTTTATTATAATAGGTACTTCAACTATTTGTTATATATATATTTGACAATCAATAAAAATAAGACAAAACTAGGATTCATACATATGACAATTACAGACGTACACAACATTTGCACATACCATGTAAACTACATATACACTTACCATATAAATTTAATTAAACGACAACAACGATAACATAACTACACAGTGGTTATGAAAATAATTATTTTTGGTAAATATATTAACATAGTAAATTTTTACATAAATTGAAAATTAAAAGCCGAAAAAATAATGAATGATTGCACACTTAAATGCACATATAACAAGTATGGTTACATATATATGTATGGTTTTCTTCTCTTCAATCCCTTCACTTTATTTCCTTTTTGCAATCTTCCTTTGTTAATTAATTTATTATTATTATTTATTTTATTGTCCTACTAATGCATATAAGTAATGTTAATATTATTTATTATTATTTTTTATATATTTACTTTATTGTTGAGTAGTGTATTTATTTAAAACACTTTCATTACAAGATATTCTTTAGTTGCAACCCCCTTTCCAACTCTTAAATTTCTATCTTAAAGTTGCCTGGAAGAAATTGCTACATAGCAATAACGGTCGCCTGTTGTACATTAGCTTACTCTGTGATACATTACAGTTTTGTGTGGTGATTGAAATTTTAATGTGAAATAAAGAATATTTCATTCATTCGTTCATCCAAATTCATATATCCAAATATATATTATAATATGTTTAAGTATAATATAGTACAACAATGTAATACAACATTCATATATATATACACTTCTACTGTGGTTATTATACATGAAAAACACTCCGCGTCGTGGACTCTTAGTAAAATGTGTTATATAACTGTAGTTCAACTATTCAAGCTTGTTTAGCCGGAAGGTAACGCTCTATAGCCAATAAAAGACTCAAGTTTGTATTTTGTATAGCTGTAGTACAAAGTGTGCGTGTTCTGTGATAGGATATGATCATGTAAACAAGGTGATTTGCATGTTGTCTAACTGCATATTTAATACTATAAGTTTTGTCTTTAAATACGGTCTGAATGTAATTGAAAATGTGGAAATAATAATAAATATAAGTTAATTTTATTTCTTATTTAATTCGAGGTGTGATTTTATCTTTGTTAATTAAAACTTTAAAATCTCATCGAGGTCTGAGCATAATAAAAATGAAATTAAAAAAAAAATGTATTAATTTTATGTATATTCTTATCACAGAGGTAGGTATTTCGACGCTCTACAATGTCATGCTATGCGGACTTCTGCGGACTTTTGACGTTCAACCATTTTAGTTGAGTCGTAAACCAAATAGCCCTTAGAATCACGCCTCTAAATTAATAACAACTATATTAAATAAGATTTTTTTTAATAAACAGTGATGCCATAACCTTAGAAGCTTTTAATTTTCCATAAAATATTCTATCAATGGTCTTCGTTAAGTAGTCGAACGACAACCAACTAAAAATTATATGTATAATGTCAGTACAGAGCACTAAAAAAACCGATCTCAAAAGTCATTTATCCCCTAGTTTGCCACCCTTAGAGTTTGAATATTTTCTTCAAATTTTAATGTAACCACAACTAAGGTACCCTCTATCCAACAAAAAAGAATCATCAACATCGGTTTACAAAGTTATCGCGTAACATACATACATAAAAAAAGAAAAAAAATACAGGTGAATTGAGAACCTCCTCCCTATTAAAGTCGGTTAAAAATATGTATGTTTCATTTAGTTGCAAATTTGCCATTGTATTTGTTTAAAGGTTAAATGATAAAGTAAGTAAGGTTAAATGATATAATAACTACACAAGCTACATACCAAAACACTTAAAAATGCCTTTTGTTTTTTTTTTGTCTACATGTGTACGTAAAGTACTATTTAATATCTGTTCGATCTTCTGTACGATGTAACATGAAGTAAGCTTTTTTTATAATATCAAGTGATGGGACGAACAAGTCGTGCGCCTCATGGTAAGCTACACGCCTGTCCCTAACAATTGCAGTGCCACTCAGGTTGAGTGCGATTTAAAGCACTAGAAATCATACTCAAGTCTTTGCCATTAGGATCGTATATCCAGTGCTTGAAATCATACTCAAGTTGACTTGAGCATTGGGTAGAGTTCTGGAATAACCCTGAGAGTTTTAAATCGCAAAGATCTGAGAGGCACTGACAAGTCCCATGTGCCTGTAATTTCACCAGTACCCTTCAAAACCGGAGCACAGTATTGCTGACATCACTACTTGGCGGCAGAAATAGGTAAGGTGGCAGTACTTTCCTGGACAAACTCTTTCACAAGAAGCTCTACTGCTACTAAAAGATATAATAACAGCTATAATAATGGTTCTGACTTTGGTAACTTTTGGTTATCGGTCACTTTCAGATTTTTATTATGTAAACCATATCGTTCCATAGGCATCCAAAATATTATATCATCTGATACGATGGTCTATGGTAAGAAACTTTAACAAAAAAATAAGCGATAAATTTAATTGTGGCCCCTAAATAAATATGATTTTTGTTTTATTTATCTGAATTAAGTATTACTAATATAAATGACCTCAAGCCATTGTAAGTCAATGCTCAAGCCGAAATAATTATGCTAGTATTGTTTTGTTTCACCGAATATAGCTGTAATGTATGTGACAAAATCCTAATTCTACCCTGACGAAGTAGTGAAAGAAATGTAAGATAAAGTTTATGTATCGAATAATTTCACAGAATGTTGCAATAAATGTGTATATGCCGTCGTAGCTTTGTGTTAACGGTATTTTCGAGAAAAATTTGCTTTTCAGTGTATTTTCCGAATATGATTTTTAATGGGGCTAGACACTATTATTTTCATACAAATACCGCTGCTGTGAATGAACGAAAGAAATCTTTTTTATTGAACATTAAAAAAAGACAATGATAACACAACCCGACCTTATTGTCAAGTAGCAATTTGTTCCGTGCAACCTTATGATAGAGATCTAAAAGTTTTCCTACTATTGAATTTCTATCCTAAGGGGAGTGCAACCAACGAATATTTTATATTTTATGAAAGTGTTGTGCAAGTGTAGGTCTCCATTACCGAAAACAGTTGTGACATAATCTTCGATTGTGATCCGTGGCTGTTACCATGTGCCACACTTCTTCCGTCTTAATTTACTATATAATTCGATTAATAATTTATTCTCGTATTTCCATCCAAGTTCAATCTGTACAAATCCGAAAGTAACTCGGCAGATGATGTTGTACGCCTATTGTTAAATAGCAACCACATCTCTTACTAGATGGCGCTTGCAGTATTAAAATAGCAATTATTTCTCACCGTCACACATATAAGTCGCTAACAAAACACTATCTGATTTTATTCACTAATACAACACGTACATGGAAAAAAATGTAATTCCCTTTATTGTTAAAATTGTCTCAAATGTTCTATCGCATGGTTAATGTAAAGTAGAAATTGCGTACGCGCATAACTACGCGATGAAGGCTAAGTACTCCGTGCGCGGGATCAGGGAGTGGGGTGGTCTGTTCGTAGGACACCACCGTGTCACCCTGTAACCCGGAAGTAAGTTGTTATTCCCGTATTCCAATCGCACGAGACGATCAGAGTAACAGTACATCGAAGGTGGTGAGAACTTTTACGAAGACTATGAACTGTAGAGTACACCCCGCCTACCAGTACCAAACTTGGTGAATCCACAGGTTCATCACCGGTTTCTTTTTTATATGCGAAATTAAACACTGCTTATTTTAATTAAGGTCTAAATCGTGATGATGTATAATCTCCACATAACAAGATTTGCAAATGGAAACTTTTCGCCACCCTTCGTATTCATATGGCTTGACCCCTATAGATTCCCATTGTCAGAAAAATATTTTAAATATATTTGCTTATTTTGCTGCTTATGATTTATGAATACTAAGTGTAGATACACTAACTAAACCTAGATAGGTCTAGTTACCTTATATTTACTCCAGTATCTCGCATGAATAAAGATATTATTATTATTATTATATGTTAAGTGAATGGTTGAAAACCCTTTCTTATGAGGAAGTGGAAAATCTCTTAGAACGCATACCGTAATTAACAACACTACAAATCATTTAAACACATAACATGCATACGCGCGCAGGTACGCACACACGCTCACACACACACACTCTCTCTCTATCTCTTCACACACACACACACACACGCACGCACACACACACACACACACACACACACACACACACACACACTTATACACATTACAAACTGAAAATATTTTATTTTATTATTATTTTTAATTTTTCCATTTTAAATATCATTCTATCTTAAAACTAACCCACTGATGTAACTTTGTTGTAAATTCTCAGTTTTAAGCTTAGTTGCAAGGCTTTCCCAACACAAGCATACACTTGCTTAAAGGGAGAACCTGATCTACCATTGTTGAACCAAATTGAGAAATAAATACATTTTTAATTATCTAAGTAATACAGGGTTGAAACCTCACAACAGGTAAATAAATGATGATAAAAACAAATAATAGTAGGTCTCACTTCTCCATATCTACAATTATTAATAATATATGCCAGATAACCATACCATATGCCTGGTCTCAAACTAAAGTATTTCCTGTGCTCTGAGTACCAGAGGACCAACTGAATTCTGGGGTACTTCCCATAACACCCAGACCAGAACCAATTTAAAAAGCTAAGTTCCCAAATTAGTCCGAATCGAACCCGGGACCTCCGCATCTAGTGCTCATAATGTACACCGTTAGGTTACCAAAGCCGTCACATTCTTGTTGTTTTGTAATAAACACAATAAAAAATTTTTGGTGAAAAGGCTATTTCGCTATCCTACGACGACATTGTATGTATATTTGTATAATATCGCTATAAAATTTATTGCACCACTTTTATTCAAACGGATATTCATTGTGAAAGTATGTTTTATTTGTGGTACTTGTTCCTTTATGTTATGGAAGGATGTAGTTCTGGTGGATGGGAATACTTAAATGTTTTTTGTAGGGACAATTCTAACGCGCCAGTGGATTGGTAATTATTTTCAATCGTCACATTTTTGTCGTAACGTTTTATTTATCCTCCGACGACTGTCGTTATAGCTCTACCCATTGTCACGACAGTCTGTCGTTGTAACGTCAAAAAGTCATGAGCGACAGTTACTCATGTTGTTCTATATGTGAACAACTTCATTTAAATATACAAAGCACGACACTTTAAACTGCACGACTATCTGTCGTCACGACATAATGGGTACGCGCCCTTATTTTCATTTCCAAAAGCGTTGTAACCCAAATCAAACCAGCCAAAGTGCAAGCTGTACCAGTGATTTGACACAATGTAGTTATTGCTTACAGGTGGTACATATATAAGCCGGCGCTAGGTTCTGAGCCGTTCCTGCAGAGTGGTAGTAACTTCTCCTACATCACGTCGGAAAACGTGGGCAGGTGGGAGATATCGAAACGACGTATCACTTCAGATTCAATGTTGCTCAACTCTGTGTCACCTATATTTAAGGTAATGTTCTCCGTTTTACTATTTTACGAAATATACCAGCCGCTAAAATGTATAGGTTTGCAGTTGATATATATTGTTAATAATATGAACATAAAAACAAATTACAACAGTGGCCTTTTAAATACAGTTTATACATGTACACAAACGCGCGCGCGCACACGCACGTAAGCACACACAAAAACGTCGGAATGACCTGAATCGTGACTATTACAGTTTAATTTCGGTTTGTTTTTTGTTTCTTATTTAATACTCTTGTCGTAGTCGAAGTATCCAGAATATCTGGCATTCGCCCTTTACGAGGAACGGTTAAGCACCGACCGCGCTCCAGGGTCGACCGGACAAGGTTTACTAATGGCTGATGAAACTGGCGGTGTCTGGATAAGCCATAACATACCAACTTTTCCAGACCTTGGTAGTGAGTATGATGTTATTTTAACGTTTTCATTATTAAATATGAATCATTATCGTCATCATCAACTCATTGATACGTCCCGCTGCTGGGCATTGGTCTCCTCTCAGGCAAGGGGTTAGGCAATAGTCCGCCACGCTGATCCAATGCGGGTTGGGAACTTCACATGTTTTCTGATGGTTGTGAACTTTTTCGTTGTTTTCCTTCATCGATGAGCTCGTGGTAAATTTCAAATTAAATTTCGCACAAAAATTCCGAAAATCTCAGAGGCGTCGAAACAGGATTTCTAGTTAGGCTACCAAGGCCTTTTATATAATATGAATTTGGAATAGAAATATGAATGTGGATTTTAAATTTGAAGTGTTTAAAGCAATTAAGTAGGAGAAGGAAAGTTTCTCAACCCATACCTAAACGTTTCACTACTGGAAAGACTTATTTAAAAATTAGAAACGACTTATTAAAAGCTTTTCCAAATTCATTTTAAAAGTAAGTAGGCGACGTGTTCTATAATCACCAGTGATCGAAATTGAGGGTGTTAATTTAGCTAAACTAAAGAAAAACGTGGACATTCCTTCTACAAAACCTGGGACTTCTCGGAACTGTTATGCGAGTATTTGAATATGCGTATTATATTATAGAAATTTGAGTACATTGCAATGTGTTTCTACAGGAACTTATCTATGTATTTAAATACTTTAGCCATTTAAAAAATAAACACGAGATAACTTATGTTTTAGAATGTTTAGAAAAAAAACTGTCAGAAAAGAAGTTTTTATACGCAGTGATGACGAATTGGGTAAGGCCATACTAAGAAAACGTTCGTACATTAGGTAGATTAATTCCCTCAATTCCGGTCACTGAATGACACAATTGGGATGGTAACTCAAAATAAGTATTTGTTAATAGGTATCTATTGGTTTTCCTGTACTATGAAACGTATGCTTTGAATTTGGGATGACTTCAATCTGAAATTCACGTGCGTCAATAACGTTAATAAATACAGCAATAAACTCAAGTATACATAGAAATCGACATACAATCTCTAACATGCGTTTTTGTAACTCTTAATTACGGTTTCACATATTCATATACCCTTTCTTGTAGGAGACCGACCTACGTTCCCAGAATCTGCATCCTTGAACGGTCACCTTGCAAGTTGTTTGTCGTTAAATTTGAAGACCCTAAATGACATTGCCGAAACCCTCGCGAAAACGTCTCCTCACTTTAAAACGGTGCACGTGCCGAAGGCCATGGAACCGCTAGTCAAGTCTTGGTCACTCCTTCCTAAGATGTCCGATAAATATGCTGCGAGCGGGTGAGAATAAAAAAAATACGCATTTCACGCGTTTGTATACGGAACGCGCTGAGATATAAAAGAGATATAAAAGCCGCAGAGTGGTAGACTATTCTAGAATTCACTAAGTAAGGCCATGTCTGCAAAACGACAACTTTTCAGGAGAAAGGTGTAAAGAATCTACGACCGAATTTAGTCGATAAGTTTTTGTGCTTAAATGGGAAAGTTATAAAATGTTACATTACCTACATAATTTGTTTCGTGTAGTTTGTATTATTTTAATGACTTTTATGTGATAAAAGCTTTTGACGTATCACGTGTGGCTTTATTATACCAAGGGTACGAATTATTTACGTTTTTATTATTGATTCAAAGAGCGACGCTGATTCGCTCGTGTCTTTCGATCCGACTGGACACGAACTAGCGTCCATCATCTCAATGTGGCTACAGTACAGGTGTGATAGTGAAAACATTATGATGTTCAACAAGAATCTCACTACAGAGTACTAAAAAAACCGACCTCGAAAGTTCGTACAAACATCTATTTACCTAGTTTTATAGAAATCGGTTACCGGAAAGTGCGCGAAACCGGCTTCATCCCCTAGTTCCTCCCCCATCTCTAAGGGAGGCAACTAAGGGTTGTAGGTACATTCACACAAACTAACTAAGGTGGAATATTTTGTTCATATTTAAATGGACCAATACTGAGGTACCCTGTTAATCAGTTCACAAATACCGCCCGGAGTTATCGCGTCACACACTTACAAAAAAAATACAGCCGAATTGAGACCTCCTTCTTTTTTGAAGAGGTTAAAAATAAACTTTACGTTATTGATGTAGAAATGATGATTATATACGTACACGTAAGTTTGATAAGTTTGGCATAAAACGCGAGTTTGCTATGAGAATCGCAGTTGCTCGCCCTTTATGTCGTTCTCGCGCTAGTCGCGTCCTGGCGTGCTAGCCCTACAGATGGAAGGTGATACCGGTGAACATGTGTTTGAACATATAGTTAGCGTTGAGAATTTTGCACAAACTGGTCGCAATGTTAACATTATCACACCAGGTAAAAAATAAAGTGAAAACTGACACGGTGATACTACTAGTAATCACTCAATCATAATGCCTTTTGATATCATTAATCGTGTTATATGTTGAAAAAAGTTTAGGTATAGTTCAATGGATCTTCGAAGTTTTAAATCGTATGAATCTGTAATTTATAATTACAGTAAATCCCAAGCAGCAATAAACTTCACGACGCGAGGAAAGTCCCTGAACGCGCATTTTACGATTCGACCAATCGGACTACAAAACGACATCATCAAGGAGTTCGCGTGTGGACAAGGCATTATTCTTGACATCTATGACCGCTCAAAACTGCCTCATGATTGTCAGGAGAAAAAATGTGGGTATGTATCATCCTTATCGTTAAGTTGGAGCATCTGTGTTCTTAATTCGTTCATGGACAGCGCTTAAATTACCACACACTAAAATTGATTCGACGGCTGATCCCGTCAACATCCACAACCGTACTGCTAAAGTTTTACAAATAATTTCTTCCATAAAGGACAGTATGGCTATACGTTAACTAGTAGAGTGATCGCTATTGTGTCAAATTGAATTAAGTACTAAAACATAATGCGTTTTAGAGTAAAAATAGATCAAAACTTACTTTAGCTGTTAGAAAGTTGTAGTGAGAAAACAAAAACCCGTACCCCCAAAAGGATGTTGCTGGCGAGGCACTGACGTGTAGGTTTTGTATTACCCCATACAACACTTCCTGATCACCGTACTGTCTTAGTGTGCACGTCTTAAACCATCGCCGGCGCTTACCCACGCACCGCCCGGGAATACTTAATCAATAACCTAGCACCGTTTAGTAGGCACGCAATAAAATTGGAATATTTGATTATACTTTCCCGAGTGATCGGAAATTCGGGTGCAAAAGATGCAATTATAAATGATTTTGGGAAGCAATAGCCCGTTTACTTCGCTGACGCCGCGGACGTCGCAGGCTCTTTGGAGGCGTCCTCGGCGGCCCTCGGCGCCCCCTAAGACGTATTTTATACACGGCGTATTTTATACGCGCCGGCGAAACGCGTTTACGGCGCCTTCTATACAAACGCGCGCAAACATCGCGTTGCAAGCAAGAAGCTTATATATTCCACTGGAGTGTACACTTAGAATTACATTTAGTTGCTTCATTTAAAAAACTAACTGAAATTAACTAACAAAACTAAAATTAAAACTATCTCTTATCAAAATGCGATGAATACGAGCGACTACAGCGCG